GGGGTTAAGTTCCGAAACCCCACCTCCCCCCTTAAATCTGCCAACCTCATCAAGGAAACAATATTACATTATATTACACTATTACATTTAAAACAGAAAACTATCATCTCATCGTCTATCTCTTGAATATTTAAACCTATCTTTTCATTTTTGATCACCTATTTGTTCATTATCTTGTCAATTACTTTATTTCAATAGGTTTATAATTATATAAATAAATTATTATTATATAAGTATATATATAAAACAATAATATGACTAATTTAAAATAATAAATGCATCCGTAAAATGCTGAAATAAATATTTATAACAAACCACTGCCAAATGAATTAAGTAATAGCGATACAGAGTGTCAGCGAAATACGAATTATGTCTTATATTGAATTAGGCAGCTACATCCGCTGCACGCAAAATTGAATCAGACAGTCGTTTACTCGATTCAACGCTAGATGCTTGCAAGAACTTGCTATTCAGTTTTTCTTAAAAACAATTCTTGAATTATTTTTTATTTCGTACTGAGAGTTAATTATTTTTGGTCTGTTTTCAAATAGTATGTATTTTAATTTTACTTAAATTAATAACGGGATAAAAAAGATATATAGCCCGTTCAATTTAATTCATGTTAATCCAGGTATGCTGACTTGATAACATATTGAGAACAGTATTTTAAATATGTGATTGATATAGGTATTTCGAAATAATTATCAACATTTCCTAACATTTAACTGATTTTTATAGAATGGATTAAGGTTCATTCATAATGCAGTAATAAATATTTTCTTTAATTAACTTAAAAATAATCTGAGTTACCTTGAGCTCCCTTTTGGCAGGTTTCAACCCTTCTAATGAATATAATTGTCTTTTGATTAAAAATGACTGGGTTTTTAATAATCAATATTTATTTAATTGCGGATAATATTCAATTAAGATGAAAATTCAAACATGAAAACCATCAGATCAGACATCGGCCTCCTGGGGGAAAGTTCCTAAACTCAGCGCTGAGCTCATCGATAGAATCGGATCTGAATAAACGATGAGTCCAGCGCTGAGTTTAAAAACTTGCCTCTTGCTATCTGCTATCTGCCCTCTTGGTAACCATCTAAGGAAAATTATTAATATATAGGTATTTTGTTATTTAAATATATAATTTTTAATTCCACAATAGTGCCAACATGATATATTCGTTATTGTATAATTAAATTCTTGGTGATAGTTCCCTTTCGCTACTCAAAGATGGCGACCGATTTCAAGATCACACAGACCACTTTACTCCTAAATTTTCGAAAATTCCCGAATGTGTCCGAAAGAAGGCGGAACTTACCTATTCCCAGCTCTAGATTATAAATTACCCAACATTTTAAGAAGGAAATTTTTACTCAATTTTAAAAATCGATAATAATTGTTAAAAATTGAAATGAATATAACTTTTAGGATTCCGATCTGATAATATTTTCTGTAACATATTCTATTATGCGTATTTTTTACACCAGGAGGAACTTAAGGAATCTCTTGGAAATACCATTTATCCATTAATTTGAAATTTACAACAAAATATGTATTGTTAGTTCAACTCTTTATTTTTTAGTCGTTATTCGAAATAATGTTTATCCCAGTGGATGAATATTGTACATCATTAATAAGATAAATCTGATGGTTTATAATAATTTTATTAATAAACCAAATAATATATTAGTAATTAATTTACTAAATAATAAAGAATAATAATGTATATGTAGGATATGAAATATATAAGTGAATTAGTTAAGAATGGAATAATTTTTTTATAAATAGTTTATTTACCTGATATATCCCTGTTGAAATTATAGCTGCTTGCTGGGTTGAATACTTTCGAGCATCTTGCTAAACATAAGAATTTTTCAGTTATAATAAATCCAATATTACTTAAATAAAATAATATAGTTCTAAATAAAAGAAATGAGTTAATAATTGTGAATTTAATAACTATTTATAATACTTTATTTACCTGCATGATTACCGTTGAAATCTTAGCTGGCTGCTGGGTTGAACACTTTCGGACATCTTGCTAAATACCAGAATTTTTTACTAACGCTAAATTCAAAAGTTAAAAAAAAATCTCACAATAAAAAATAAAATCAACCAAAAGTACATAATTATTCTTAACGAGACATAAATTAAATTTTAAAATCTAAATCTGAGTAAATATGGTAAAAATTTGATATAAAAAATACAATTCACTGTTTAAATTGTAATAAATCCGAGACGAAAGATCTTACTGAAGCTTGGAAGAAATTCGCCGCCAATCCACTACTGTAGAAGGCAGTGGATTTTAATTAGATATTTAAATCAAGCTTCATTCGCGATTATTATTTCTGTAATAAATTATCGTTTTCTTTATTACTTATTCAAATTAATATTTTATTAGTTACACAACATTTTTATTTCGATTGTTTTTTGAAAAACGAAACTTTATAAACCAATACATATTTACTGATACTAACTCTCAAAATACCGCGAATATGAGAATGCCCCAAACTCATATAATTTATTGTTTTTTAAAAAATAATTTCTTTTTATGAAGAATATTAATTATAGTATTTATTTATTTCGAGAAATATTAGAATTAGGAATTGGTAGAATATTTTTTACATGATATATTATTAAAGTGCCTTTTAAATATCGTAAACAGTCCATGATTATTCATTTAAAAAGTTACAAAATATAGTTAAGTATAATATATACCTTATTTTTATTACTTTATTATTATATTTTAAATCAATACGCATTATAAATTACATTTTACTCTATTTGTCTTTAACACATAGGTAATTAATGTATAATAGATTCAAAATTAGATACTTTTCTGTTTTTTCATATATTTTTTTTCAATATTCAATGAGATATTAAGTATAAATGAGTTTATTACAAAGTCATGCCTTCAATGTACATTACAATTCAAGATTGAAAAATTTCTTGCATACTATATTACATAGGTTTTATATTTATTGTTTATTTATATTCAGGTCAAACTCTTACAAACAGTACAATATCTGAATGAAGGTACATACAACTGATAATATTTTTAGGTAAATTCCTTTTATCCCCTTATCATAAGCCTTTGGAGTTCCTCATTTGTTCTGTATTTATTTAGTATCACAATATCAATTGATTTGAATATATTGTTTTGTGCTCGCTATAAAGTGTGTGTCTAAAATGTTTATCAATTAAAATCTTTTATTTAGTTATATTAAATTATAATATTGTACTAGATTTTTTAAAATAAATATTTATTAATTCGTTTGTTTCTTAAAGTTCAAGTTAAAATATCACATAATTTCTGTTCCTGTTTTACTCTTGTTGTCAATGAAATTGGCTTCATCAAATTAAAAATGTAAAAATATTATTGTCATTGGAATTAATCGGTTCAAGATTTTTTTTTTTTGTATTTTAAGTAATTGCAGTTAGAATGCTATTCTTTGAATGTTTAAGTAAAAGTTATATTATTTAAATTTTGCAAGGGTAGAAGACAGTCTTATAAGAATTTGCTCTAGAAAACTCAATATCTGACAATCAATGTTCCCTAACCTTCAGTTCAATGGCCTGAAATATCCCTTTTCATTCGCTTTCTTATAAGAATTAAGTAATATTGTGTTTGAAAAATTCCTTCTTATCGTCTTAAAAATTGGCCAGCTAGGCTTTTATTAAAGGTAAGTGATGGCATGAATATATTAATTCAATATATCAGAAAATTCAATTTTTTTTAAACTTCTCACAATGGGGCAAAAATACACAGTATAATACTTTTACCTATGATACCTATGATGAAGAAAAGTGGATTATAGAAAGTATTTGAATTTAAAACACATGAAACTTTTTATTTTTTAAATATCTACAAAAATCAAAATTTAAGAATTTTGGTAGTTACTAATAATATCACTCAATTAAAACTTTAATATTCTGTGGTTTTAATTTAGCTATAATTTTATTGTATCATTTAGACAGAGACTTTAGATTTAAAAAAAAAAATTTGTGGGTGTGTTTTTACTGTGAGCCATAATTGACTAGAAAAACTCAAATTCGCAGCATTGTGTTAAAATTATTGTTACAGACTTTTGCAGTGTGGCTGTTGATATACTCATCGATTTCTATAAAATTCTTAATATCATTAATTTTTTTTATTTCATCTTTATGAAAACTCTGAGTCTGAAAAAAGATATGATTGCTGATTTCTCTGCTGGCTTGAAGAAACTCAATGTTTAAAATTTGGATGATTCTTATAGCCAATCTTAATATTTCTGGTTTACTGAATAGCCAATTGTTAATAAATTTATTTATATTATATCAACCTCAGATGATACAATCAGATACATATGTGATAAAATACTTTTTCTCAATTTCTTTTAAATTACATAGATAAATTTTTAAGATTAATTCTTATTTTACTGAAATTTAATTGGTTTAATTAATTGAACAGTTTTTAGTAAGAAATTTTGAAATGTTTTGGTGCAGACTAAAATTCCTCTTGACAATTGCTTTATTGCCTTTAAAGTGAATAAGATAATAAAAAAAGTGCCAAAGGTTTTTTCGATTTTTTATAAATAAAGTAAAACTCAGCTGTTTAACACCTCTTTCAAGAGACATGATGTGGTAAATAGTTTATTATCATCATGGTGTTTTTAAAACGTAGAAACTAAGATATCCATAACTTAATTCTTTATCCGAGTTCTCATGAGATCATATAATACCTATTTATGATAAAGTTCTCAATTTTTCAAATGAATCAAACCTGTGTCGTCACAGTAAATAATAATGTTTGCACTAAATATAATTCTGAATATTATCGTTCTGTATTTCTCATGAACAGAACTTTATTTCAATGATTTTTTAAGTGAATTGTTAGGGATTTTCTCTTTGATGTATCTTCTCTGCAGTTAACAATTATCCACTATCAATAATGATTTTTAATTATTATTATTTTAATATTTTTGTTCTATTATGATTAATTCTATTTCCTTCCTCAGGTGAAAAACAAGCGTTCCTTGGACCGGAACCAGTGAGACTGACGCCAGCTTGGGAGGAGACTAATTTACCAAATGATGAACTGAATTTCAAAGGTGTTACAATGGAACATCATCTTGAAGCACACCCCCCATCGGATAGGTAAGTTAGCATTTAAATATATATTTATATATATATATATTATTACAGTAAGGCTCGAAATCTTTTTTGTACCAAATATAAGCTCCTGTCATGCTCAAATACCATGAATGAGGTACCATTGGATTCAGAATTTCACGGGGGGTTAGTGAATCATATTCTCCGCTTTTGTTTTTCTTTCTAAAATAAATAAAGTCGATACAAACATTTTGATAGGCTTTAATACTGGAACGGTGGTAGGTCTGTAGATCGATGCGAAATAAATTGGACCTTAATGATTTTGATGCGTACAGCAAGAACCAGATAGTTCCTCTGGAACTATTGGCTCCTGCATTTTAAGCCCAAAAACGAAACATTTTCGAGATAACGCAAGGTATGGGGCTCGCATCCACACAACCTGACGTTAATTGTAGTACCGTCATTGGATACATGTCTCATTTCGTCGACTTGAGGTCTCTATGATCGAGACAGGAGGAGTTTATATTATTTATCGATGGTGTTTTTGTTCGGCAAGCCATATCATCATTAATTATTCACCAAATCTCAAGATTGACCCACCAATTTCGAAGGCTTCCTTCTCCTTCAGGCAGGCAAAGTTGTCTAATCACCCCGGAAATTCAGGCAAACAAGTTATGAAAGAAAAGAAACTTTATTTGTGAATAACAAAAAAATTACACACTTTTCCCTGGGTTATTCCCATGATTATATAAAAGATTACTAAATTATCTACAAAAGGAAAAAAAAATCATTGAAGTCGGACAATTTTTCGCAAAGATACAGCTTATTGAAATTTTTAAATATGTTGGTTCCAAAAAAAAATGAAGATTTAAATTAATTTGTTTCCTTTGTCGATTATATTTATCGATAAAGTAACAAGTGATTCCTTTATCTTTTGATACGTTGCATTATTTTATTTTCTTATTAATTTGGCATTTGATAACAATATGCTGTGCAAATTTTTCGCATTGGCCTACTAGTATATATATATATTTTTCTAATTTTATTTTTACTTGCATACCTCTGTATGTAATGATATGAAATCTATAGGACATAAAATTCCAAGAAATGCATTGTCAGGCCATTAATCTATCTAACTGTGCCACAAATATCTCTTCAACGGATGGACTGATTTTATATTAAATAAATGGAACTTATTGTTATTGCTGTTATTGTAAAGATAAAGGAGAAGGAGAGAATCCCCAAAACCAAAGAATATCTCTAAGCTCTTACACCTTTGAGAATGTCCGACAGTTCTCTTATTTGGGATCTCAAATTATGAAAAAAAATGAGATGACACTTGAAATAAAGCGGAGAATAGCAGCTGCCAACCGATGCTATTTTGGCTTACTTAAGCACATGAGAAGCTCACTACGTAGTAGACGAACGAAGCTGCAGCTCTATAAAACACTCATCCGGCCAGTTTTTACCCACGGTGGCCAAACATGGACCTTAGCCAAAAATGATGAAAAATACCTGGTCTTTGAAAGGAAAATCCTTAAAAGAATATTTGGCCCTGTAAAGGAGGGACTCGATTGGAGAATTCGGAAGAATAGAAAGGTCTACGAATTGTTTAATGAACCTAATGTGGCAAGAATAATAAAATTAGGAAGGTTAAGTTGGGCAGGACACATAGCTTGGATGGAGCGGTCTGAAATCCCGCTAAGAGTTCTTGATGAACCATTACACTTCACGGGGAGAGCTGGCAGACCAAGATGATATGGGCAGAAGGTGTGGCAGGTAACGCGAGAAACGATTGGAATCAAGAATTGGAAAGTGGCCGCACAGAATAGAGAAATTTGGCGGAAGCTCATTGAGGAGGCCAGGATCCACTAAGAGTTTTTAAGGTAGATAGATAGTAAAGATAATAAAAAAAATAAATAAAAAAAAATAAAAAAAATTGTATTACTACAACCCATGAAGGGTCTGGGGTTCAGTACTATTTAGGGAAAGCACTGTTTCTAGATGAACGGTTGTGCAAGGAGGTGATTTGACCGAGATCACGCTCAATCTCCAGGTTTTCCCCCTTAATTAATTATTTAATTAAGGGTACCTACTTTATAGAGGCTGGATATGCCCCAGGAGGGTCTCCCGACCAATGAAACAGATAAATAAATTTTCTGCCATGAGCCGGGGTTCGAACCTGTGACCTTTGCATTGGAAGCTCAGTGCCCTACCACTGAGCTATCCCACTCTGCATTTATTTATTAAAGATAATAAATATGTATACAAATTTTATTTAAAAAATGTGACATATACAAATTAGCCCAAATATTTTTAATTTTAAATAAGTTTTCCCCTCTTGAAAATGGTCTAAAGGGTTGAAATATTGGTGAATGCAAAAATAAAAAAAGACTGATGGATCAATTGTGGAGTTTTATTATTAAAAAGAAAATAAACCTTAACCGATTATATTAAAATATCATTCTTTTAACAGCTTCGGTTTGATTCAATTTTTATTTTAAATTTGTTTTAGTTATTTTGGAACTAGAACTTTTTCCCTTGTGACTTTTAAAGTTGCGTAAAGGTTGGACAGAACTTTTATTTAAAAAAAATAAATCTTTCTTTAAAAGTTCTGATGACTTTCCCCAAATAGTTAATCTAAAAACTACCTTCTATATTCTTAGCTACTCAAACAAATGACACATTAAAATCAAGTAATTCACATTTAAGATAAATTCTAACTGTAATCTGAGCCGGATTACTGTTTATTTTAATTTACCGTAACTTTTTTTAAGGAATTTAAATAAATAAAAGTTAAACTTTTATAAGAAACCTAGAACTTTATTCTGGAAAAGTTCCTTAGAACTTTTATTTTAAGAATTTTTTTCCTAAATCAGAAACTGTTAAAATGTAAATTTAAAAAAAAAGATTCATGAGCGTTTTAACTCCTGGTTCTCTGTCGATGTTTTACCCATTCAGGCATCATCACAACAGAAAATTATATAAGAATGTATAAATGAAAACCAGGGATAAAAACATCTCACATCAACATCCTAGAAAAAAATTACTGAATAGAGACAGTTCATGGAATTGATTCCAAGACAAGTTTCGCAAGGCCTACATGTAAGAACTACATTCATGTTATCATTTCCTATCCGAACCAGAGAAAAGTAGGTTGACTAATTATTTACTTTTTGACCGGTTTTCATCAAGCTACTCGAGAGAATTAAGTGTTCGGTTTGGATTATTTTAAATAGAAATATTTTTCTGTCTTTATCAAGTTTTTCTCTTATTAATGGATAGAAATATAATTTAATGTAAACAAGTAACATTTCTAGGTTGAATATTTATCTAGGTTGATTGATAGTCAGGATTTTAAGTTTAGTTTTATCTTTCCATTCCTGACTATAAATGATTCTTGATAATTTAAAAAACAAATGAATTTACAAATAACATTTATATTTATATAATGATATTATCTGTATAATATCATTATGTGTTTACTAATTCAGTTTGTATCTTTTTTTTTTAGGTACAACATAGTCTATTTGATTATGTTCCTCCATGGGATGGGTACACTTTTGCCATGGAATATGTTTATTAATGCTAAAAGTGTAAGTATGACTTTTATCATGTTTTTCAATTTTGTCAGCCTCAACAGTCAAACTTAAATGTATTAAGCAAATAAATTTCAATACATAAGAAGTTTCAAGCTCTGCTATATTTCAAATCACATAATAGATGTACACTTAAATATTTCAACAGTGAAATCTTACATCCATGACAAATACACTACATAAATTTCACTTTTCCACCCAATATCATCCCAATCCATTCGTTCTATCATTTTTCTCCTCTTTGTTACCTGTTCAACACTGATTAAAAAGAAAACGGCCAAAAGACCTGCTGATTCAACAATGTCAAAATAAAGGCCATTAGCAAGCAAGATCACAGAAGAAACTAAACAGCTATATCAAATTTGCTAGGTGCACCTCTGTGTCATTGCAAATAGTGTAAAAGAATAAAATAAAACAAATCAATAAAAATATAAATAGGTCATTTATTAAGTAACCTAAATTAATTACAGATTCTAGATGAAATAAAATTTAATTAAAAATGTATTTGTTTTGTGCCAAACTCCATATTGTTAAAGATCTGAATGACTTTTTTTAAGATGATTTTTTGGAAAATCTAGTGGCATCTGTTGGTGTTAACTCCCAAATAATGAAATAGTTTTTCAATGTTTTCATTGCATTTATCTTTACATTATGGTATCCTCTGTATGTTTTTTTTTTTTATTATTTATTTAATTGAATTATTATTTGTTTTCAGTATTTTGTCGACTATAAGCTGAGCTATAATTATACTGGAGTAGAGACTGAATACGCTGCTAATTTTCTTCCTTACCTCGGAATAGCTGCCCAGGGTCCAAGTCTTATTTTCAACTGGCTTAATGTATTCGTTAGGATGGGGTAAGTTTGAAAAAAAGTAATTTTAAATCATTGTACATCATACATTTTTTTTAGTTTAACTCCGTTATATCTTCTTCGAGAGAGGCTTTTGTAATGAAAATTATGTAAAAAAGCTATATTATTTTGTTATTTTATATGTCGCTTATTTCCAAAGTGAAGCATAATAAATTTTTATGGAAATCGTGATAAGCATTGATTCTCTTGTAAAAACACCCAATGGATCCCTGCTGCAATTTTTTTTTTATTTCTTTATTTCTTTTTTATTTTTATTTTTATTTTTTTTAAGAATGAACCTAAATATTAAATAAAGTGTTATGAAAATGAGTTAATTTCCAAAACCAATATTTTTTCCAATGAATTCAATGAAACTTTTATTTCATAAATATTTAAAAAAAAAAAACAATCATCAAAAGCCTTTTATTCATTATTTTATTCAAATAAAAATTTAAAATAAATTTATTTCATTGTAAAAAAAAAGTTAATTTTGTACAATTTTTATAACTTTTTTCACCCCAAACCATGCACCATTTTTCTCTCAAAAACAAACCTCAATCAACCTTATTTTTGTTCAAAAACAGGTGTTAATTCTTTACACTATTCAGGTTTTCAATGTTTTTAAATTACCACTGGAATAATCATTGATTTTTGGAAATATGTTCAACAAATAAAGAATTTAATTTTTTTTTTTTTTTTTAAATAAAGGTTTTGATATTTCAATTGGAATTGAAAGATATATTTGTTTGTATTTCCTGAAAAACTTTTAATTATTATCAGAGTTCATTTTGAAATATGTAAAATTTTATAAAATTAAATCACTATTAATATTAATAAATATTATATATAATATATATATTTATATAATATAATATATAATATATATTATATATATATATGTGTATATTTCTATATATATATATATATATTTAAGTATTATATATAATATATTAATAAGTATTTTCATGAATTTTTTCTCTGTTGGATGTGCTGTGAAGATTGTGCTCTGTAATTATCTTTTGATATATAAATAGGTTTTTGTTGTTTTGATGCACTTTTCTTTTCTTTTGTGTGTTTTTCATCGATCAAAATTCACAACAAATTATTTAAAAATTTCCCTCTATCAAAAATTTACTTGGTGACTTTTTGCAATAAACGGACAATATATTTAATATATATTACATACACAATAACCTTCATAATTGCAATAAATTTTGAGAATGTAACGATATTGCTGAAAATTTTCATTTCTATCTAATTTAACATTCCAAATTTCAGTTTTGTAATTAACTGAATAAATTATTAGATGTAGAATTTTAATTTGTAAAAATATTCATTTGCCAGAAAGGGATACAGAGTTGCCCATTCTTCCAAGGTTGATGACACAAGAACCCCCTTCCTCCCAACATATTTTATTGCTCTCCTCCTCTTAAAAACAGTTAAATTACACTTGATTCTGAAAATAAATAACCTCGTCAAAATGAGCTCACCTCAAAAATTCAAAATCCTGTCAAAATGTGCTTCCCTCAAAAATCTTGAAGACAAACAAAGAAAACTAAAATAACAGAAATAAAAAGAAATTGTCTCTGGCGGTAGTTAGATAGTTCTCTTACATATATTTAGTAATCAGTCGGATCGAGAACGGTGTTTAAAGAGGTCTGAAAGAGGAAACTGATTATGCGTGTCGAATTTCTGCAGAAATGGAATTCCAGAGGGAGGCGGCTTGAATTGCAAATGAGTTGTCAAAGGCAGCAGTTTGGTGAGGGGGAAGATATTGGTCGGAAGTACGAGATCTAGTGGGATGGGATTGGATGGAATATTTAAATTATAAGCTGTGAAAACTATAGGAGGATCGATGAGTTCTAATGATCTGGTACAGAAAGGTAGCTAGGGAGTACTGATGGCGATAGGATGGGTAGAGCCACTTCAACTTGGTGTAATACTGGGTGATATGCGTATCTCTTGAAACGTAATGCGCAATTCATTAGGCGTTCAAGTTTGCCCTCAAAATCTCCAGAGTCCACTGTACACCATACAGTCATAAGTTGATGGCACAACTTATGCTATAAAACCTCCTTTTAAGCATCCCTGGGAGGATATATTAATTTTTTATTCTTTTTTCTGGGAAGTTGTCTATTTATTTTTAGTTATTTGGCAATAATAACTTCCAATTGATAACAATGGAGTATATTTCTATTATCAACGTTACATGTTAACAAGTTAGTTGACGTTTCGGGATATTTACTCCCATCTTTGGAACTGCAATCCCAATAATCTTGTGGATGCAAAGCTAAAAAATTTTTTTGAGTTATAATATTGTGCTTGTTACATTACATGTTTGAATTTTGTTGTTACAATAAATTTGTAATTACCTTAAAATTAATAATAATAACTTGTTAACATGTAATGTTGATAATAGAAATATACTCAATAGTTACCAATTGGAAGTTATTATTGTCAAATAACTAAAAATTATTTTTGTATAGCTTCTTGCTCTTCAATTTTACTTAAATATTATTATGCTATTATTAGTGCAGAGGGTCATATGTTAAAATTGAGTTTTTTTTACATGAAAACCGATAATTTCTTTATGATTTATGAGTATAATTTCATATTTTATTTCGCTCTGCTGTTTTCCTATTTAGAAGACTACTTATAGCAGTTATAAGTTACAAAAGGTCATCTTTAAGGCAAAGAGAATAAACATATAAAATTATTCCATATGACCTTTTGCACTAACAGTAACAATTAGTTTTATTTCACTTTATTACTAATAATTTAACAATTTAAATATTATTTCAAAATATATTCTCACATTTTCTAGGGGAAAGCTGAGCACTCGAATAGTTTGGAGTATTGTCGTTGAAATGTTGATCTTTGTTGTAACTGCCGCTCTTGCCATGATAGATTCAAAAGACTGGCCAGCTATATTTTACTATGTCACGATGTTATCTGTAGTTTTATTAAATAGTAAGTAAACTGGAGCATATATTTAATAAAATTATCTTTACTACATTAATTAAGAGTCAATACAAATTATTATTCTTTCTTTGAAAAAATATATATTTGAGCTATTTCATTACATTCTTCATTTCTTTTTGTTAATTGAATGATTTTTCATAATTCTGTTTTTTATTTTTCTTGTTATCAACGATAAAATAATTTTTCAATTTTTTCTAAATTATATTATATGTATTTGACTTCTCATTGGTTTTATGAATGAAACAACAATTTTATTCTCTTTTTTCGGCAATGATACAAACAATTGGTTTATTTTTTGATTTACATAGTAAGTTCATGTTTCAGGAAAATTATTCCCATCTTCAAAACTCAAAATCCCATATTTTCATAGCGCTTTATGGCTAAAGTCTGATGTGCCCCTTTGTCATGATGATTTGAAATTTATGTTATAAATAAAATAAAATTATACTATCTGGAGCATCAACATTCCTAGGACCAATAAATGGTGGACATAAATTTCAAATCATGGCAAAGGAGCACATCAGACTTTAGCCATAATTCGCTATGAAAATATGGGATTTTAAGTTTTGAAGATGGGAATAATTTTCCCGAAACGTCAACTTAACATGCAAATCAACAAATAAACTAATCACTTATATATATATATGAAAGTTTTTATTGCCGAAAATAGAGTATATTATACAGCTTCCCACCGAAGAAGAAGAAAACAATTTTATTGAATTATAATTATTTTTCAGTGGCTAACGGTATCTATCAAAATACTATATACGGAATGGCAGCAAAGTTACCTCCTAAATATACTGGTGCTATCATTCTTGGAGCTGTAAGTAATCAATGACTTAATTTATTAAGCAAGAATTTGAAATCATGAGCTAGAAACATTTTATCTGTTACTAACAATTTTTTTTTCTTTTCTAGAATGTTAGCGGTACGTTTTCATCATTAATCAGTATAGCCTCACTGATCATAGCTCCTAACGCTAAAACAGCTGCAATTTACTATTTCATTACTGCTCTGTTTGTCTTATCTCTATGTTTTGACACTTACTTTGCACTACCTCTCAACGTAAGCATATATGTTTTTTATCCATTCCTTATATTATGTTATGCCAAAAAAATTATGGTTATAATTCAGTTAATACTCAAGTGTTCTTTTGTGAAATAAAATACTAATATTGCCCAATTCATTTTTCTACCTTTACAGTATTATTTTACTACGAATAACTATAATTTGATTAAAGTAAATAAATAAGGTATGGTTAATACCGATAATTAAATAGCAGATAAAAAAAAATGGTATTTTAAAAATATTTAATTTATTTTTCTATAGCTATTATTTAACGTATTTTAAAATATTTAATTTATTTTTCTATAGATTTATTTGAAAAATTTAACTTCTGATTAGACTTTATTTATCTTGAATAGATTTGAACTAATGAATTGTGATGTTTGATTTTTATTTATCGCCTTAAATTAATTTAGAAACTAAAGTTAGAGTAGAATAGAGTTAGAGTAGTCAATTAGAGTAGAATTGATATTTAAATATAATAAATGAAATATGTTATGTTTAAGAAATAGGCCATTATATCACCAATTTTGATTCATACTTTATGATTCTAACGACATTTCAGCAGAACTAAAGTCATCCTCAAGTATACAATTTTTAAAATTTTAATTCAAATAAAAAACATTAATTACACACATTAACTTTTACATTCATATGTTCATGTGTTAACTTTTAGTAAGAAATATTCTTTTACAGCATTTTGATTATCATTATACATTATGAAGGTAGTTAACAGTAATAAAAAATCTGTAAAAGGATATCTCTTGTTAAAAATTCAAACATAAATACATTTTTTTTTTAACTATATTGTTCATCCACACCTATCTAATACAACATTGACAATCAGTGGGTTGCCTATCAAATGAGTAATAGAATAATAACGGCATGCCAACTATGCTGAAGAAAAATAGGCATTGGTAACTCTTTGATGGCATTATTTAGAAAAAAAAATAACTTTAGCGAAGGACTCTCTTCCACGACTTTTTCCGACTCCTTGTGACGTTAGTAGTGGCCATTCTTACTATTAGCTGATTGTTATGCCCCTTGCAAATTTTTTTGTAGCGACTCACCTGAATATGTGAATGTAAAAGTGACAGTGTTTAAAATAAACCAAATGTAGGGGGAAAAAAAAAAAAAAAAAAGGTTGTAGATAATGAAAATAATTCCAGTTTAGCAGAAACGTCACCAACATTATTAAATAAATATGAAAATTATGATCTAATGGCCTGTTTCTTAAATAAAATATAATTTAAGGCACCTTAAATACAAATTATGAAAAGAAAAATAAATAAAATACTTCCTTCTCCATCAATAATGTATTGTTTTCTCTTTCAGAGATTCTATAAATATAATGAACTAATGCATCAGAAAGAGATTCAGAAGAAGACAAAAGACACGGTATCTTCGCCGAACGATAAGGCCAACATTCCTCATTTGAAAGTGTTATCGAAGAACTATCCGCAACTCTTTAATATATTTTTCATTTTCTTTGTGTCTTTAGCACTTTTCCCATCTGTGCAATCTGGTATGTTCTCTTTTAAATATTTGTAATTTATTTATTTATTTTTTAAAAATTAAAATTACATTTTTCTTTCTTCTATTTTAGATATTAAGAGGTCTGATGACAATTTTTTCATCAACGACAAATTCTACGTTGAAGTAATGTGCTTCTTAACGTTCAATGTGAGCGCCATGTTAGGAAGTTATATCGCCACCTTTTTCCAGTGGGTAAGTTCATCGGGTTACGTACCTTCATATATTATTTCTCAAAGGTGTTTTTTTGTCGGCCTATATTTATCTAATTCAATGATAATTTTCTCTTAATAAAGAAAAATAATTCAACTGCAGAAAAAGAAGGAAAGAATACTTTATTTTTGTATGACAGATAGAGCATGAAATTTATGTATGATAAAGGGATTGATATAGCTCAGTGGTAGGACTGTTAGTTTCTAATGCTCGAGGTCCCAGCTTCGAATCTGGCAGATAAATTATTTATTCTGTTTCATCGGCCCTGGATTGACTCTGTAGTCAGGAGATCCTCCTGGGTCACACCCATCCTCTATTATCTGGGTACCCTTAACTTAACTAAATAATTAATTAAGGAAGAAAACCTGGCGGTTGAGCGTGATATCGGTCAAATCACCTTCTTGAAAACCTTTGACCAAGAAACAGTACTTCCCTACGTAGTACTAAACTCAAGACCATCCATGGGTGGTAATAGTGAATTTTTTTGTTGTTTTTTTAATACATATGATAATTTGAAGGAAAGTTATGTTTAATTATATAAGTCATTAGTTAACAATTAATTTTTATTAAACTACAGAAATATCACCAATTTATTGAATTATTGAAGGAAGTTAGTCGACTGTTCTAAGTATCATGGGTGATAAATATTCAGGACGCTGTCTTTATTGGTGCCGACATTTCAACCCAAACATGTTTCTTCTAAGGATACTCTTACAGAGTAATTGAATACCTTCAGTGCTCGAAACACGCCCTGATGATGACCCACATGTTTGGGTTGAAACGTCGGCACCACTAAAAACTTTATAATGACTGCGTCCTGAATATTTATCACCCATCGCCAATTTATATTAACTTTGATTTAAAAATCTTAGGTGATATTTATTTTTTAAATCAAAATTAACATTTTATATTTTGATTTTGCCAAAAATTGGTTCTCGAATTCAATCCCTGTTAATAACATCTGAGTATATTAGCATGGAGGGGTTGTTCACTCAAGATTCATGTTATGATAACACATTAAGCAATTAAAGGATCACTTCAATATCTTAATGGTACTGAATTTCAAAGGAAATTTTTTTTAACGATTCTTAAGTATGATTGAATAATTTATTTTAAAAAAAAATCATTATATTTAGTCGATTATCAGTTGAGATACAGGCTATTGTATTTATTATGTTTAATTACTTATTTCTCTATTATTTTGCCATTTGTTCATAGACCAATATCCTTTGTGAATTATTCACACGGGCCAATCATTAAGTTTTTATTAAGTTAGCCTATTGTTTATGTTTTTAACATCAAAAAATATTTTTCCTTTTCTCCAGGTTTTGATTTTTCTTTCTGTATATAATATATGAATATTATTATTATTTTATTTTTTTTTTTTTTTTGTCATTTTTCACATTACAATTACAACTATTCTTGAAAGGATTTTATTTTATTTTTTTAATTGTTCATACATTATTATTTCAATTACTGTATATAATGTTAGCATTTTTATTAACTTAGGTTTTGACCAGATATGTAGTCAATCATTGTTATTCTGAAGAGTCTTAGTCCCACAATAAAATTTCTTTTCTATTCTATTCTATTACGAGTAAAATTTCTAATAGGAAACTAATTGTATTTCAGCCTAAACCTAAATACTTGTGGATTCCCGTCATCATGAGAGGCCTAATATTCGTCCCGTTATTCGTATTATGCAACTACCAGCCGCTCAAAGTGGATAGGACCCTGCAGGTCTACATCACCAATGACTTCGTCTACCTCGCCATCGGTATATCCATGGCCTTCACCAGTGGCTACTTTAGCTCGTTGGCTATGATGTATAATCCTGGGTAAGTTACACACTTTAATCTTATTGTATAGTATTTTTTATGTATAACCAATTTCTTCTATCTAGGAAGATCTATTTTTTGTAAACATTTTTGCTCAAAATCTCTTGTAGCTTCTAAAACAGACAGGGATAAAATGATAAAGTTATTGTGGAAGAATTTTTAATATTCCAACAATGAAAGAGATCTTGCAGAAAATACAGTTGGCCTATACATACGCGCAGACTTTGGGAGGGCGAGGGAGGCTATTGCTTCTCCCCCCTCAATAAAAATGTTTAGAGAGTAAGAATATTGTTTCATCTGCCCAATAATTTGAAGTAAAAAAAAATTAAAATTGAAGTAAATTTAAATAAATAATAATAAAATAAAATAAAATAAATAAAATTTAAATAAAAAATAAGCTACATAAATGAATAAAATATGTATTCGGGGAACAATCCCTGAAAAACAAAAAAAAAAAATTAAGAAAACAATTCTACATAATTCTGGACTTCACCACCATTTTATTGGCCTCCATTTTGATGTAAAGTTTCCCTGTACAGTTAATCCAAATCATAGGTGAAGTGTGCAAACTCTCATTTTATTTTCATCAGGAATTATAACAGAAACAATATGTCTTGCTAAATCCAACAGCCTCGGGAGAAAATATGGAGAGGAAGGAGAGGAGGCCAAGAAATGAAGCTGAATTTCAGTGAGTCCAAATTAATAATACAATTTTATTCTGAAGCAAAATCACTTCTAACATGACAATGTCATAGGGAAAAATTGTAATTTCACCATCAGCAATTAAATGATTGAATATTTACATCATCGTTTAAGATCAACAAAATTGTACAAGTGCACAAATTTTATTTTCTTCTTTTTATATCCATTGCATGCAATATAACAATCTTTAGAAATTTAATGTTGAATTTGTACATGTTAAATTTCAGCGATCCAACCTCGTATAGTCCACACCAATTCTCACAATAACCAGTGCACTATCACTCAAGTATAGGTCAATGCGTAATATTTGGTTAACACCAAAATACCATGACCAAATAAAATGTAAACTAAAATCGATTAAGAAAATAAGAAAAGTTGACTAGCTGGGACAAAAAAACATCACTTTAATAGTGTTGAACATTTCAAGTTTTGTAGCTACAAACTACGATTCAGTTTTCAGTTACTCTATAAAGAAAACTGCTTAGTAAATTGTGGTTTAAAATGTGTCAAGTGGTTTAAAAAATTCAATAGTAACAATTTTGACATTTATCCTATAAAGAAAACCACTAGAGAATTAAATTGAATACTTTATGAAGCGTACGGTGAGCATGCTGTTGGTAAATCACATTGTGCGAGTGGTTTAAAAAAATCAAAAGTGGCAATTTTGACACGAGAAATGAAAAACGGGTGTGATCTATTATGAGCTGCTAAAACTGAAAATACTAAACCTTGTTTATTTGTTTAATAATACTTTAAAATACTATTATGAAACCGTTAATACTGAAAACTAATGATCAATTTGAATCGATTATTGCATAAAAAATTACAGTATATAAAAAAAGACAACACAAAAGTATTTTTACTTCATAATAATGGACCACCACACTCAGCGAAACTAGTGAAGAAATTATTTGGAGTATTAAGTTGAGAAATATTAGTGCATGCATTTTACTTGCGAGACTACTCCATCCGACTACTATTTAATAGCATGAATAGGGCATGCTCTCTTTCAGCAGAACTTCACATCTTATGAAAATAACTTGATGACGGGTTCAAAAGAGCAATAGTTTTCTGGCAAGAGATGGGATAAATGTGTATGATAATTGCATATTGCATGGCAGATAATTATTTTTTCTGTTTTATAAGCCTTGGATCAGGAGGCTCTTGTGGGGTATACCCACCTTTATAAAGTGTGTACACTTAATTAACTATTTCGAATATTTAATGGTTGACTGTTGCATATTTTAAAGGAAGGAGATGGTCCTGTGTGGCGGTCATAAAGAAACTAAAATAGTGGATAAACTATTTTATCTATTTTATTAATAAAATAGTTTTTCCACTATTTTAGTCCCTATATCAATTTGAGGTAGTGAGTGATTTACGTCAAGGAGATTCTCTCTCTCCTGTATTATTTAATATTGCATTGGAGCAAGCTGCTAGAGCAATAAAGACAAACCCAGTAGGAACAATCAATAATAGACTTACCAAACACTTAGTGTGTATGCTGATGATGTAGTAACATCATCAAGATCTAAAGCCGCACTATCAGGAGCTTTACAAGAATTTGAAGACGCTGGAAAAAAACTGGGTCTTAAAATAAATCAATATATGATATCCTCAAAAAATGAGGGGCAGGATAGCACACAACTGCTCCACCACACTTTTAAGAAAGCTGGCGGTTTCAAATATCTTGGAGCCTTAGTGGTGTGCAAAAATGATATTACTGTAGAAATTAAATGAAGAATCGCAGCAGGCAACAGATGTCTTTTTGCATTACGGAAAACATTGCGTTTTTGAAACCTTTCACGGAGGACAATGCTACTAGTTTGTAAGACCATCTTGAGAGCAATTGTCACTTAGGCAGATGAAACATGGGTCCTGACACAGGAATGCAAGAAGATCCTCCAGATCTGGAAAAGGAAGGTCCTTCAGCAAATCTTTGTGCCAATATGTATAAATGGAAATATTTATAATGGAAAATAAGAAATAATAGAGAAATCCAAGAATTGTATAATGAACCAGATATAGTCATTTATGTTAAATCAAGCTGTATAAGATGGATTGGGCATGTAGAAAGAATGGATGATGATAGTTACCCAAAAAGACTATTATAAAAGGAGAGAAAGGCCCAGACTTAGATGGATTGGTGATGTGGAAGATTAAATGAAAATGAAAAAATAATTTTATTCTTGGACTACTGTCCCCTAAGAATAATAACAGAGTTAAAAATTTATGGATCTTAGTCTGACATAATAAAAATACAAACTAATTTACTTTTAATTGTTATTTCAATTGTGCAATGGATTAAACATTGTACAGATGCAAGTAATTTTACATGTTAGGGGAAGTTTGAATGTGGAGTAGGTGTTGGAACAGGAGTTGTTTGAAGGAATTTGTGGACGAGGATTGACGCATGGAGGTAGAAAGTGAGTTCCATAAGGAAGCAGCACGAATGACGAAGGATTTGCTGAAGAGGGAAGTTTTATGGGAGGGAATATATAAGTCTATAGGTTGAGACCTAGTATTCAGAGAGTGGATAGAGGAGCGTAGAGTAAGGAGTTCCAGGATGTAGGGAGGGTTTTTGGTTCTGAAGACTTGGAAAAGGAAAACACCAAGGAGGAATTGTCGTCGGGAAGTAGGATAAAGCCACTTCAACTCGGAGGATGATTTGCAGAAGATGGAAATTGGAGCAGAGATGGAGGATCAGTGGGCCACTGATAAGGAGGATTGGAGAGGTGTTGTGGAGGCCATAACCCTACAAGGGCTGTAGAGCCACGGAAGTAAGTAAGTATGACAACCACCCCGGACCATCTCCTTCCTCTAAAATTAACTATTTCATTAATTAAGATAACCCTCCATGGGTTGTAGTGGTAGACGGTTTTTTTTCTTAATTATATGCTGAAGATATTCTAAAATAATGATTTTATATTCGCTGCTTTGTGTTACAGATGCGTGGATAGCGAACACAGCCACATAGCTGGTATGTACGGAGCGGCATCGTTGGTCACCGGCATCTGCTTTGGTCTGATAGCCTCCATGGTATTCCCTTGGATTGTCTCAAACTTAGTCCTACCCTTTTAAGCCACTTTTCATCCTCGACGCCGCTTATCAGTTCATTGAATGTAAGAAATCCCAATATGTACGACAATGCAGAAGGTTAATGTTTTGTTTTTCTTTCTACATGTTCCCGCGCTCCTTTCTGTGGTATAGATTGGATGCTGGTAATTTGTTTTGTTTTAGACCAAAACTTGTATGGAGATTCCCTCTAACAAGAACAAAACAGGGTTCCTCAGAAAAGTAAAAAAAAATAAATAGATCCATTCGTGTAGATTTTTATAAATTTGTTGAAGTATTTTATTCCAAATTAATACAGTCGTGACTTTTATATGCATATTGTAGAATAGTTTTAATACTTCATTGCTTGATTAAAAAAAAAATCTTTAATTTTTAAAGAAAATAAATCCTACCATAAGTCTCTAAAATGATTTTTATATGAATTGTATTGTATAAATTAAAAATAATAATAATAATTCTTTTCATCCATCCTTTTGTTGTACCTATAGTATCACAAATGATAATTCGCCCAAAGCTTTATGGATTATTGCTATACAAATTTTCGACAATAATTTTTTTATTGTGTATTACTCAAGATCTGAATTTAGATTTTCTACGCTTTAAGAACTTTATTTTGGCATTATAAATATTTTCCATAACTGTTCCGATTTCATATGAACTTTTTTTTTAATATGAATACCTATGAACTTATGACCAAGAGTTGTAAAATTTGAACAACAATTTTTTTTTTTCAATTTAATATAATGAAAAAAAAAATTCCCAACTTCGTGAAGTCCGGAGGTTTTGTCCAATGTTGTAATGTAAATTATTGAATTAATTTCGTAATGGGTGAGAAATAAACAATCATGAACTGTATTGTATGTTAGTATAGTAAGTCTGATATTAAATACTCATTTTTAAATAATTATAAAATGTAATGTACCAATCATTATATCTTTATAGGATAAAACAAAATTAAAAAATATATACACAAAATTATTGTTTGATGTTTATACTTAAAATTATTGTAGCTCATATGTTTCAAAGTATGTATGTACATATGTATATATACATATGATGATTGTTCTTTTATTTATTTTTATTTATAATTTGTTATGTATTTTTGTTTGTATTATATAAAAAAAACCGGGCTTCTCAGATTAGTGTTGCATGGGTTTAGTGCAGATGTGATGAGGAATTGAAAAAAAAAAGTATATATATAGTTCTTCCTTTGACTACAAGTATAAATGTATAGAAAAGAGTATATTGAATATATATATTTTAGTTTTTAAAAGCCAAAGTAAACATTTAATTATTTTAAGCTCACGTTGCGCATTTTTGTATAAATAAATTTGGAGAAATGAGGAGATAATGAATAAAACTAAAAAAAAATAATATGTAGCTAGCACTATAAACCCCATTTTAGTTATGTTAAGGTAATTATATACCTGTGAGGTCCTCAATATTTAAGCTGTCTGTAAAAAATGTTGTAATAAAGTAATTTTATATAAATTGTAATGATACAAAAAATTTAAATTATAGACCTGAAAAACAATTCAGTTTTGAATCATGGGATGTAAAAGCTATTTTCTTGTAAAATAATAAATATAAAAATATGTTTGGGATCGAAGATCTCACATATAGATTGGCTCACAAGTATATACGCACCTTTATATAGACTGAAATTTCGCTTATTCGATTTTCACTAACTTCTAAACTTCTAAAGTACCTTCTTCTTCAGAATCGTGTGCTGTTCTCATAATTATGAACTGTTCATCACTAGCGGTAGAATTTTATATCGATTACAAACTGTCTACTCAGGAATAACATGTAATGGTTCGTTGGTGACAATATTTCGCTAGAAGAGGTAATGCAATAGTTCCTGTCTGGTCGAAATCATAAATTCAAGTTTAAAGTGTGCTCTAGAATCAATCAAAAATATTCGCAATGATTTCAGAATTGTTTACAACCAGCTTCAAATAACACATTTTAAAAGTTCAGGTTTCCTATTTTGTGTTAATAATATAAACACTTTCTAATCCTTTTGAAACATTAAGTATTCATTAAGAAAAAAAGAAAATAGAATAATACAATGTTTTCCTGTAATAAAGTCAAAAATGAGTTATGGAAAATATTATAAGCTAAAATTATTAATAAATGAGAAAAATATAAAATAATGAAATAGATTTTTTTTAAAAATAAATTTAATTCTATCTATGAGAAACATCAATTTGTTTTAAACCTTTCCTAAAACAAATATTATATGAAAATTCAATGCGGTTTGAACATGAATAATTTTAATAAATTTGACTTTTTTTTTTTTTAATATTTCGTTGTTAGTTATAATTCAGAATATCCCTCAATTGTTTTTGTTTAGATCATTTTTGTTAAAACATTCTTCGAATTTGATATTTCTAATATAAAGTAAAATAGTGTAATGTTTCTTTGATACTTTTTTATGAAAAAGAAATTCAGGAATTCAATAATCAAACAAATCATATAAGAAACAAGTTAGGTTATATTATCAATTCGTGTGCTGAAGGCTTATATAAAAGTCAACAATATAAATCTCTGAATTAATTTTTGTAAAACTCTCCAAAAAAAATTATGTTGAAATGTTATAAAAAAAATTCTTTGTATAAAAAATAACAGAGAATTAACTATGCAAAGTTAATTATGTAAGCGTGCCTATTTTATATTAATAGTTTACTGCTAAAAAATAAATTATAAGATTCTAAAACACTTAGGAAAATACTTGAATTTATGATTGTGTGGCCGTGACTTAACTCGTTAAAGTATGAAAGATGTTTTTATGTCTAAATATGTGTCTTATGTTTCGTCTTCTAATAAGACAAGAAATAATGCACATTATTTGGAAAATCTTTATGTATTGCCATTAAGAACCATTAAGTGTAAAAAGTACATTAGTAATAATATGTGTCTTAATTATGTACCTGTAAGAAATATGTATGTAATATACATTAATACCATTAACTATAAACTTATGTAATTACTGTTAACTGTCATTGCCAATAAAAATAATAGGCACGTTGGTTTAGTAATAAAGGCTAAGCTAAATGATTGAATTGAACTGGTCGCTAATTTTTTATTAATAAGAAAAAATAATGTTTTCTTTTTTATATAAATGTCAAAATTATGAAATAACATTGCTTATAATTATTGATTAAGAATAATAATAGTAGTAATTAGTTTGGGGGAAAATTTACTATCAGGAACAGCGTTGCGAGAATTGGTGCAGTTTTGCTGAATTATTAAATGAAATAAGCAGCAAACGACTGAAATGGAGGGAAATATCGACAAGACTGAGATATAATTCTGCAGTTTTTATAATTAAATATTATAAGTGTTTTTTGCATTAAGTGAAGCTTCTCTTGTTAGTTATATAATTTTTTTTAATTTGGAATGAATTTTTTTTTGCTGTTAAGTTTTGTAAAAAAAAATTACTTTGTTGTAAATTTTTTGATTTTTGTTGTAAATTAAGCTCATATTTAAAATTAGGCTATATGATATCGTAGATATAAGCCATGTATACATTTGTATATAAAGTAGATCAAGGTTGTTAATTTTTTTTTTTAAACATAATAGTACATATACATATCATCTATTTATATATTTTGAGTATTGTTAAAATTTCTTTATTAAATTATTACTGGTGTTGAAAAATGGTAGTTTGATGGGAATAACAAGGTTGTTGGATGAAATATGTAAAAGGACGTGAATGCTATTATTTTGTTTGAAAAAGTTCAAATGAAGTTTAAAAGTTCGTTTTTGAAGCCAAAGACATTCAGCTGTTCCTGCCTTTTCGCATTTATGTTATGTATGTAATTTATTTTTATTTATTGTTGATTTCATGTACTATTTGTTTTCCTTTATTTTGTATTTTATTAAAATATGGAAATAACAATTTTACAACCATTTGGTGTCATTATTTCAACCTTTTTTTTTTGGTAATTCAAAATTACAACTGTTTTAACAAAAAAAAAAAAAAATATATATATATATATATATAATTAATAAGGAATTAACCCTTAATTTTTAGTATGTATATTATTAACAAAATATTAATTTTTTTGTTAATGTTATTTTTTAAGGTCTAGTTAAGCTAATTTTTGAGTTTATAAATTTTAGGGCATTTTTACCTTAGAAATGATAAATGTATCTTGGAGGATACTTAGTCAAATAAGCTGGTTTAGAATTGTTGGTAAATAAATTTAAGAAGTAAAAGTTTTTATTAATAAAAAATATTGATGATAAACTAACTGAATGTTAATACTGACTGAAGTATCACAAAGATACACTAACTAAAATATTAAATACTAGTAGGCCGCTGCGAAAAATTCGCACAGCATATTGTTATCAAATGCCAAATTAATAATAAAATAAAATAATGCAACGTATCAAAAGCTAAAGAAATCAATTGTTACTTTACTGATAAATATATTCGACAAAGGAAACAAAAATTAATTTAAATCTTCATTAATGTTTGGAACCAACTAATTTCAATAACCTGTATCTTTGCTAAAAATTGTCCGATTTCGATGATTTTTTTTTCCTTTTGAAGGGAATTTAGTAATCTTATATAATCATGGACATAACCCACGGGCAAATGTGTACTTTTTTACTTATTCGCAAATAAAGTTTGTTTTCTTTCATAACTTTGCTTGAATTTTCGGGGTGATTGGACTATTTTGCGCACCTGAAGGAGAAGGAAGCCTTCGAAATTGGTGTCTCAATCTTGAGATTTGGTGAAAAATTAACGATGATATGGCTTACTGATCAAAAACACCATCGATAAATAATATAAACTTCTCCTCTCTTGACCATAAGAGACCTCAAGTCGACGAAATGAGTCATGTATTCAATGCAATTGCCGTAAGATTGTGTGCCTCGCATTTTCTTGAAAATAGTTCATTTTTGCGCTGATTTCAGCTGGATTGGCAATCAGGGGTGCCCAGAAGGGAATTTGATGGCGCAAGTTGTGCCAACAAAATTTTTGAGGGGAGCATATTTTGAATTTTTGAGGGGAGCATATTTTGAATTTTTGAGGGGTGCAAATTTTGACAGGGTTATGATTTTAAGGACTAAGAGATAAGAGGAAAACATGGAACAGGCTGCAGCAAGTGTAATTGTATATGATCTACGATTTTTTTAATTCTACCTTAGCTTGCTCTGTTTTTATAAAATATTTTGGGAGAGGGGGTAGGTTATTTTGCCAGGGATGTTGGGGGGATGGGCACTCCTGTTTGCAATGTATCCAACAAGGATATATTTACAATTTTTTCCAATGTAATAACAATACACAAGAATCATAAATTTAAACCGTAATAAATTTTGAGATAAATGATAAAAAACTGAAATGTAGGCAACAGCATTGAAATTCAGAATTTTATTAGGGGATAACTAAAAGAGCACACAAATGATACTGAACTGTTTTGTATAGAAAGTATATATAAAAGTGTATGAGTAAAAGTTCATAAATGTTTTACTCAAATCTTTAATAATGATTTTTTTTTTTTTTTACTAAACTTACTTATATTTGTTTATTTAGAAATATTACATTCTGTCACATTTAGGATGACTTTAATAATGATTAAAGTCAAATTTTGACCACTGGTTGAATACTAGTTTTAATGTAAAAGGGAAAAATAAAAGCATAAAAAAAAATATTTTGAATTACATCTAGCTCTTTCATGATTCTCAATCTCTACATGAGGCAGTTGTATCTTAGTAACCTCAAGTCTAGCCCAGGTGGATTGAAATTTATTCCGTGGCAGACCCATTCATTAAACCTTTGGTTATACCTGAAGAATACTCCCATATGCTAGAAATGGACAAGTAGGGGATAAAAATAAATAAAATATCACCCACTAGAAGTAGATCCTGAGCCACTTTACCATATTCCTGCACCTTTCATTTTCTCTTGAGAGTTTCATCCATTTTTAGCTCATAACAAATTTGCTAAAGCTTTGAAATAATCTTTTTCATCCACACCTGTCTAATACATTATTGAAAATCAGTGGATTGTCTGACAAGATTAGAAACAAAATAATAATGATATGTCAGGCATCAGGAAGAAATAAAATACCCAGCAGTATCTCTTCCAGGGCATTATGTCTCTCATCTACGAACTTTTCAGCCTCCTCGGGATGTTGTGAGGCATATTAGTAGTGGCCACTGAAATAAATTGATCCCTCTTTATTATGAAGAAGTTTTGGTGACTTTATTTTTATTTATATAATTTATAAATAGAGTGCTAAGTAAGTAATAAAGTAGTAATTTGTATTTATGTTATGAAAATAAGCCTGTGTCACTGCAATCCATCGAGAGTCTTAGGTTCAGTATTTCATAAGGAAGTACTGTTTCTGGGTCACTTGTCTAAGGAGGTGATTTGAACAAGATCATACTCAACAAACAGCTTTTTCTCTTAATTAGTTATTTAATTAAGAGTAACCACTTTGTAGAGGCTGGGTCTGCCCCAGGAGGATTTCCCAATCCCAGGGTTGAATTTCAAAACTAATCTAATATTGTAAATAATTACCTTCCATAGCCAGATTCGATCCTAGGTCATAAAACATAGAAGTCCATCGCTTTACTCTCTGAGCTACCCCATTCTATTTACATAGTATAATATTAAATAAAATACTATTTAGTATAATTTCATTATTAATGAATCAACATCACTTAAATCTTCAAAACTACATCATTGGTACAAAAAAAAAAAACCTTCCCACAGCACCAAAATGAACAACACCTCAGTAATGAAGGATAACAAAATAACCACTAAAATAATTGTGAATGGATGGTTGACAGTAGTGAATAATTTAAGAGAAGAATGGTTGGAGTGTTCAGGAAAAAAACAAGTAAAAATAATAAATATACTAAAAATATGTATGTATACTTAAAAAAATAAATATAAAAAATATATACTTATTTATTTTTACTTTTTTTTTTACTAGTCACTAAAATAATTCGATAAAGTTAAATCATCTGGACGGCTCAGTTTTACTGAATTTGAAAAATGTTTTATCAATCACAGGAAAACCACACGCTATAATCATGATATAATAAATTAATATTATTAAGAAAAAACAATAAGATATTGAAAACCATATGTAAATAGATTAGAAAATTAGTACCACTTTAGGAATTTTTACTTTCACTTACCTATACACGAAATATATAGTAAGGGGAAAATATTGCATCATGAAAATTTTTGAACCTCAAGCCATTTCTTGAAAATGGCTAAGCAGTTTTTAATATAATGTAGGTTTTATTCTCATTGATATTCTCTAACAGGGCTTAAAATCTAAAAGGGCTAATTTTCAGTATTAGCTTCCTCTTAAGTAATGATAATTAATTACAGGAGAAATAAGAGATTGTAACAGAGAATAGTTGTAATGGAGGAACCGAAGGAATACGAGCGTTAGAACGATTAGAACAGGCTTCTATGCCTAACATGAGCTTAATATAATACGGACTCAGACAATATTATGTACATGTACATATGTGCTTTTCATAAATGCTGTTGTTGGTATTATTTAATATTTAATTGTATAGATTACAGTGATATAAATATTAAAATTTGTATACATAAGGTTACTTAAACAGATAAAAATACCCACAATGAAATATAAATAAACAGCATCTATAATTTATACTTTCACATCCCCTTTGTCTGAAAACACTTATTTCTGCTAAGAGGGTGGTAAATGAAAGTTGAGTGATGCACGCATTGTATCATTTTTTTTTTCTGTTGGCATTACCAATCTTTTACATATTTTAGATCTTTTACTGCCTTAACAAACCTACTCCATCTCTGCTTGTCTTGGGTTATTTCTTTCCAGTTACCTGCATTCAGCTCTTTAGAATCTTTGTTGATTCAATTTATCCATCTGTTTTTTTTCCTTCCAGATGAATTGCTCTACATGCTCCGCCCATCTTAATCTCATTACCTTCATATCATGAGCAATTCATTGACCAGTTTCTGAAAGCAGCTCTTTCTTCTCCATGTCTTAGTATTAGTAGAGCATTTTTCTATAAAATCTTTCAATACTTCTTTTTAGTACGCTGCTAAGTATCCAGGTTTAAAAAGAATACATGGATTTATTTCCTACTTCTCTATGGTTTAAGGCAGAGTTTGGAATCAACTTGTGATCTCAGAATATTCTGGACATAATGATAACAAAATTAAATACTGTTCGAGGTGAGTTGGCAATAAATTTATATTCACACTACTTTTTTAAAATAATTTTAAGTTCCTTTATTTAAAGAAAAATCACACCATTAGATTCAAAGAGTGTTTTAAGCAAGGAATCGATAATTATCTCTATTTCTAAAAAAAGCTATTAGGGTTGACTTTGAAAACATATAAACTATTTCTTTCGGGACATTAATGATTGATAAATTTCTTTGAAAATCATAGCTTACATGATAAAAAAACAAAAAAAAAAAACAACAACAACATAAATTTCTATTGTTTTATTAATCAAAAACTGTCAGATTACATACAAAAAATAAAGTCATAATGGTAAAAATTCAAATCTTGGTACATATATAGTAACACATACTCACATACGTATACATATATATATCTTCAATACATGAATTAACTACATATATAAAAAAAAGATTCCTCAACAGTAAGCAATACCTGACAAACAGCAATCCTTCAGTATTCGAAACAACGCTAAAATTAACAGTTTTCATTATATAATGATTCAATTTACAAGCTTAAAAATAAATAAATATGTGCTCAGCTATAAGTTGCGCCAACATTTTCTGAAAGTGAAGTATGATTTAATAAACTGAAAATGAAGCGATTTTGCCACTAACAGTTTCGGAAGCTTTATATTATAATCAGCAGAAAAAAATTAACTTATTTAAGTATACTTACATCATAAAACATTAAATACGTACAACTGATAGAAAACACAATATATAATAGAAAACTATGATTTTTTTTTTATGTTTAATAAACTACTGGACAATAATTTTATAAACAAATTTGAGTTGATGGTGTTCCGAGAAAAATAGAATTTTTTTAAATTTTATTTTATGCCAATGTTTTGGCCTAATCCTCAGGCTTTCGTCAGGACTGCTCATATGGAAATTGTCCATTAACTATGTCAATCTGGACTACCACCAAACTCTCTTCTTTTCTTGGCATAAAAGAAAACTTTTTTTTTTTTTCTCTATGACTCCAATCAATATCGAACTTTATTTTTTATGACACTTTTCAACGCTATCACAAAAATTAAGTATTTTTTATTCATGGATGATTTAAGAATTCTCTAATATCCATGCAACATGGTCATATCTTTAACTCAATATTTGGCAGCTGGAGACCAGAAGTGGATCAGAAAACATTTCATATAATAAGTATAAACATGTTCTCCTTTATAATCTTTAAAAGAGAAAAACATGAGATCGTTTTTGAAGAACATGAGAAAAGATGTTATTAATAAATAATAACTTTGTCAGGTGTTTATTTATCACTTGCAATATAATATTGAAATACCGATGGTTATTATCTAATTTAATTTATGAAAATGACCAAAATTATTTATAATGCTAAAAAAATATATTTGCATTTTAATATATAAAACTTTTTTTTTTTTCAAAATCGCTGAGGCAACAAAAACTAATATTTTTTCCTAAACCTTGTTTAATAAAGATTGCATACTGACAGAATGAACTTTTTTTTAGTTAGACAAATATATATGATACCGTAAGTCAAATTTACTTCTTATTCAAAAAGTGATTTTCTTGTAAATGTACTAAAATGACATATATAATCAATAATATGTATTATACAGAAAGCATATAAGTTACAATCACAACAAAAAAACTTTTAAAAATAAAAAGCAAATTCGATTTATGATACTAAATCCTTCATTGATACTTCAAAATTTGGATTTCTCAGAATGAAAAAGAATTTTATTTTATTCATAAAATTACTTTGGTGTTTAAGAATAATTTAACAAAAATAAAAACTGTTAATTTTGTAAACGTTTTCAAGAGATTAATAAATCACTCATGGAGTCCTTGCCGGTTTTTGGATAAACAGTTTTTCTTACGATAACAAATAAAAATAATACTCAAAAGACAACGAGGCCATCCAGCAACTTATATCCATTACTGACCATTTTGGTTCTTTGGGATTCTAGTATTACTCAAATATATTATTAATATAATATAATAAATAAATTATAACCTGGATTGTTCTTTAGGTTAGATAGATTAATAATAAGTGGAAAAAACAGCATGAAAATATATTGTATATTGTTTATGATATGCTGCAACATCATAATTTAAAAATCATTATTTTGAATTGAATCAAATGGACAATTGCTGTGTACTTTCATCTTGTATAATAGTATCACAGAAATTAATAAAGTATTTAATGCTTAATTTCCTGTAGAATCGTGGGTTCCAAATTCAAGTCAATTCAAGATATTGTAGTAAATAAGCAAGATAATGAATGCTAGATAGAAATTATGTATTCAATTTTAACTTCATTACATCAAATCATCCTATTCAATTTGATTCTTTTGTCCAGTAGTTTAGTTTAATGCATGCAAACTATATCTGAGATTGTTACAAAACAAAAATTATGAAGTATGGTTCAAAAAATATTAACTAGAGTGCATTGGTTACTGCTTGTCTTTTCATCACAATATAGCATACCCAGAAGTCTGACGCTTCCAGCGACTTTGTGGCATATCTACGGAGATAAACTTGGGTATGTACTCTAACTTTTGATACTTTAATTATTGTAGTATATCAAGAATCTATTTAGGGAACAGATTATGTTAGTCTTGCAAACATATATTGAAAATTCCAGAATTACTCTTTAAAGTCGAGATCTACTGTAAGAGAAGAGTACTGTAATGAAACATTGTGTCTCTTATGACAACTAGAAATTAACTACACTCATTTTGTTAGTAGCTGTGCAAATGTACCTAAAATATACAGGATAAAATGGCAGCTAAGTGATGCCTAGTCATATTTACAAACTAAGGGGATTAGCTGATAGAGATCTTCAAGGTCTAAGACAAGATATATATCACCTTAGCCACCGGCGTATGTCATGGATCGTTGACTTTGTTTGTGTTATAATATATATTTTATTTAATTTATAAATAGAATGAAAAATAAACACAAGCCTACATATAATGAAACATTACAATTCGCGATCACATGATGCTTTACCATGCGACTTCTTAAGATAACTGTTAAGGGACTCTAGATAAACATAGTACAATTTTTTAAATGTTTATGAGAAAATTAATGAGGAAGATATTATTTCGAATAACATCGACATAATAAATACATTAAAAAAATATATATATAGAGCTTTTCACTTATCCATCAACATATACTATTTTAAAACAATGTTACATCAGGGAAGATAACTAACCCTTACAGTTAATAAGAAATATTTCAGCAGTGTTCGTCATGACAACGACGGTAACCAAGGCAACATTACCTAGATCTTTTACAAAGCTATGGCTATTGTTAATAAACACATATTTAATAAAATTTCATCTCGAAAGATTTGATCTAGAGAATAAATATCTTATAGACATGTTAGTCAAAGTTGACAGTAATACTCAATGGATTGCTGTAACATTACATAATAATAATAATAGTACAAATTTTTCCCTTTATTTTAGAGTAAACAAGTCTTTGATAACGTTAAAATGTTTATATAAATTTTCAACAGAACAAAATAATAATATACATAATAAATATTGCTCCACTTTCAAATAGTAATAGGATACATAACTTACCTCTTTAGTACCCTCAATTAAGTTTAAATATCTTTTTTCCCCAAAGGGGTTTATGAATAAAAAATAGATACTAATAAATCTTGATAATCATTTGGAATCTACTGATTGAAATATTAAAATTTTTAAATCAGTCTTAAATTTAAATTTTATTTGTGAAACTTTAGTAATTAATAACGTAATCTTGAAAATTAGTAGTCATTAAATAATAATGGAAACAAGGGATTTTCTTATCATATTGAAAACTAATTTCAAAGTTCTTAAACAAAACAATTTTATAATTAAAATAATTTTGATTTAAATCTTCGATAGCCTCCATTTTTAAGAGACTATTTATTAAGTGGCATTTTAAAAATATAAATCTAAAACTAAAAAAAAGAAAAGAAAAATAGAATCAGATTGATGTAAAAATCTTAAAAGTAAACAATCAGCGAACAAAGTCAACAGATTACATTATTACATTACGAAAACTTTCTCAGCTTTTTGATAAGGAAAGATCTCTTTTGTCCTGGGGCAGATGATCTGTCCGTTGTTGTCAGCAGCCATTTGTAAAAGAGACTGTGCGAACACAATAAACATATTAATAGCCATTAAAAAAATAAAACCAAATATATATCACTTACGAGTTATTAGTCCACATTACAGACCCCTTCTTACCAAAATTATTAACACTCATCTAAAAATTCATGAATGGTTTAATTTATCATAACCTAAAACTTTTTCATTCATGATCGGAAGCTCGTTAAGCTTTATCATTTTAATGAGATACTAAAAACTCATGAATACCCATGGCTTTCCACTTGAATCAAAAGATAATTTTATCATGAATTGAGACAAACAGTGGCCTACAAAAATATTGGGCTATTTGGCATTACATCCACTCTTGATAAATCAAAATTATACTTTTTGTAGGCTACCTTTTTCCTTGATTTCGATATCAAATCATCTTACAATTCAAGTGGAAAGCATATGGGTATTCATAATTTTTTAGTAAATCATTAAAGTACTTAATTTAATTAAAAAACACTCCTCTTCTGGGAATTTTCTTTGATAAAAAAGTTCCAGGTTATGATAAAATAAAAACACTTACTAAGTTTTAGATGAGTGTTAATAATTTGATGAAAAGTGATCGGCATCATAATTATATGGTCAGCATGGATTTAAAGCGACAATGCCTACTAAATATCAGTTATCATAATAGGATAAATTGATTATTAACTAATAATAACAAATCCTCCTTATATATTTGAGAGAGAAGAAAGCAAAGGTTATTGATGTTGCTATTCCTAAAGAGGGCAGGAATATTCATGCAATCAGCAATAAATATGTTAAATCTCTAAAGTTTGTTTAAGTCAAGAAACTTATTCAACGTTTGAATGCTAAATATGGTTGTTGACGTAACAGGTACTCACTTAATTTGTGATAAATGCTTAATGTTTAAAGTGCATGAGAATTAGTATGAATCTTGAGAGAATGACCCTTCAGTGCTAATCTGCTAATTGTATTAGTAAAAAAATACATATATCCTCGGCGCTACAGCCCAGTTCCAAAAGAAATCGCTCCCACTCGCCTTTATTCCTGGCCATCGCCCACCAGCCTGATGCTCCCACCCACACTATATTCTTTCCAACTTGGTCTAACCATCTCATTCAGGGTTTTCCTTTCTCCCTTTTACCCACCAGCATATAGCTCATGATTCTCTTGGGAATACTATTATCTGCCATCCTTTACACATGACCAGCTCAACGAAACCTACGGTTCTGTATAAATTTTACCACTGAGACATCCTTATACTTTTCATACAATTCTTGATTGTGTCTAATTCTTCAGGTGTCATTTTCACATAAATCCTTTTAAGTATACTTTCAAAAACAGCTATATGTTCGTCTGTTTTCTTTAGCATCCAGCGTTCACAGCCACAAGTCAGTACGAGTCTGACCAGGATTTTGTAGTGTGTAGCCTTCACGTCCTTATTAATTACATTTGTTTAAAAAGTTAAATTAGACCATAATAACCCCTTGTGGCATCTAAAATACTCTTCTTTATTTCCTTAGAGAAGTTGCTCAAGTATTAGTTGCTGTTGTAAGTTGAAACTTTCATTTGTGAAAATTTTGGTTTCACCAGTGGATTTCAATGTTTTAAAAAACACATAAATAAACAAATATGATAAAACAAAATACAAATATATATATATATATATATTTGTTATTTATAAATAACAACATAACATTAGTTATTTATATGCGTTTTTTGTACACTTCTTATATATGGTATTGTTTTTGTTCTTACACTAATTGCATACACTTTTGTATTTACATCAACTAATTAATTTTTTAATCCTTATCTTTTCATTTATTTACATTACAGAAACATTTTCTTATCATATTTTAATGTTTTTACTATTGTATACTTTTACATTTATCATTTTGCTGATTTTATTCTTTCCTTCTATTAGTATTATCTTACTTATTTACCCTTATTGCTGTCATCTTGTTAGTTATTCTGTACTCATATTACCCTTACACTTTTATATTTATTATTTTACTAATGTTATTTTATATGTTGTAATTTTTAGCCCTGAGGATGACCTACATGTTTGAGTCATATCGGCTGACCTAATAATAAAAAGATCTTGACTGAAATTTTGTTTCATCCATAAAAATTAATGAACAGTTGCGTGAGATTTGTAATCGGTGCCCCGAGATACTACCATGTCTCTCACCACTACACTGACTTAGAGTGGCTCTTCCCCTCCATTCAAAGAAAATATTTCCTAGGTACATTCGTCTATCATATCATCAACAATCATCGTCCTTCCTACGCCTACAACCTTCTCCAATTCAAGTCCTCAGTCCACTCCCTTTCCACAAGATCTCGACCTTCTGAATTTTACATTCCTTTTCACAGATCTGCCTCGTTCCAAAACTCCTTTATAGCTAGCTCTGTTAATTTTTGGAATTCCCTTCTTATCAAAATTCGGCATTCTTCATTCCTATCTATATTCAAAACCTTCCTATTCCAATTCCTGTCCCAAAAACAGTCAGATACCAGCTAACTTTTTATGTAAAATTACATATTATTCATAATAATGTATTCACATGTAGCTCATAACTTAAATACTTATTATAGATTCGACTTTCTTTTTTTTTTCGACAGAAACACAGAGTTTACTGCTAAGAAGAATTTACATTTATTTTTTTCTGTATTTTTTATTTTTTCTGAAAGTGTATATTTATATTTTGCCATTGTACATAGTTTTAAGTGTCTTGGCAAGGTTTCAAGAGTTTTGTATTTAGATTTTTTTTTATTTTATTTTGTATATAGTATGTATAACTAATATTTTTTTTACTGATTTATCTTTATCTTTACTTTTTATGTTTGTTTTTATTTGGCCAGATATAACATTTTAATTTTGTACTTTTTTGTTATTCTGAAGGGACTTCGTCCCAGAATAAACTTATTTCCTATTCTATTCTATTCTAAAAATGTATTGAGTGATTTTTTTTCCAATAAACCTACGATATTCTTATTAAATAGTGTACTAAAGAAGAATTGCTATCACTTATTCCAATAAAAAAAAAATAAAAGTATAATATTTACCTGCTGTCCATAGACATAACTGTTTGGCAATACCATAGGCTGGTTATGCTCATTGAGAGGGAGGCCTGAAATGTGGCAGATCAATCTCGAGTGAGAGCAATGAGCGAAAGGGAGCGGGTCCGCCAACAGATTGAGCCAATCCTGGCAGACCGGGCACGACTTGTTCTTCTGTTCATAGCTGCCATAGCACTGAGTGCGATGATTGTGGTTAAGGAATGATATTTAATCAATATTTGACAAAAAATTATAAATTTATATCGAATACTCAATGGTTGAATGTGGCATAATATTAAAGAAAGAGATTGTTCTAAAAAAGAAATTAAATTCATCAAGGCTAAATCGAACAAGATACAAATCATACAGAAAATTATAGGAGTTAAAATAAATTTAGATTAACAGTGTAAATAGAAGGTATAGAGAATATCAAAATGTAAACAGAATAAATTAAGTATTAAGAACATTCTAATATAAAAGAAAGTAACCAGAAACTAAAATAAAGTAAATAAAGTTGGTAACAATAATTGTAAATAAGAAAAAAAATGAATAAAATAACAAGAATGGATGAAATTCGTGATCATGAATGCATGACAAATCTTAAGGAAAGATTAAAAAGAAAGATAATGAATTAAAAAGTATGGAGGGATGAATTAACAAGTAGATGGAAAAGCAAAAAAATAATGGATATAAAAGGGATGTAAAGAAAGTTAAAAGGATATGCTAAAGACACCTAAATATCTTTTAACTCCTATAATTTTTATCTTGTTTGTTTTAGTCCTGATGAAGACCTGCATAGTAGTTGAGTCAAAACGTTGGCTTAAAATAAAATAAGTTTTTTCGTTATTAAAGTTTATTTGTGACTGCTGGAGATTGTGAAACTTTTTAAAGGTTTTTGTGACTGCTGGATCAGCACTTCCCTCAATATAAATTTATATGTTATTTTTTTCCCCTAAAAGGTATGCTTATCGTGAAGCAATGTTGTAATTCTTTATAGAATAAATCCTCATAAATATTTGTTTGCAGTAAGTTACCATTAACATATAAGCTTTAATATTTAGCCTACCATGTAATGCAAAATATACAATATAAGTAAACAAAGAAAAATATTCAAACAAAATAAATACTACTTTGACATCAGAAATATTAACTAGTCCATGATGCAGGTCGCTTTCTATCAAATTATTAACATCTAGCTAAACAATCGTAAATGGCTTCATTTTATTGTAACCTACAACTTCCTTATCTATAAAAATTCTCAGAAATAGCAAGTTTTCTCAATGAGGCAGTATAAACTCGTGAATACCATTTACTTTCTACTTGAACTGTAAGATAGTTTAAACACAAAAAGGTGGTTTACAAAAATATCGGGCCATGATAAATGGCCAAATATTTTGGTAGGCTACCTTTTTCTCAATTTCGTGATCAAATTATCTTATGAATCAAGTGGAAAGCAAATGAGTTTTCATAATTTTTTAGTACCACGTTAAATAAACAAAGTTTACCAATCTCCAGATTGAAAACAGCCCATTGCAGAGAATTTCATAAATAAAAAAGTAGTAGGTTATGATAAGATAAAGCCATTCAAGAAGTTTTATGCAGATGTTAATAATTTGATAAAAAGATGTCTATACCCTGGACAATTATGTTTCTATTAAAAAAAAAAACTGTCAGTACTTTTACAACTTTTTCTGCACTTTATCACATTTTTCCTGTTAAAACAAATGTTACACAGAAAAAACAAAATGCACAATGCAAACCCGTTAAACCTATAATTGGTTATTTTGAACAGTTAACATTGCCAGGATATATGAAGTAATAACCATGTATATTTCCATAATCCTGACCCTCAGGCACATGTTTCTTTAAACTTCATTATTGCCCAAAATATTAGGACCAAAGAAGGATGGGTCAATCGGAAGATTTAGACATCAACACAAACTAAAGTCAGTAAATAAAATTAAGATGATACATTTGCAGTGATTAGAATGGGCATGTAAAATTGTTGGGCTTTGTAGCAAACGAATCATAAAAAGATTATTTAAAAGACCAGCTGACTGGTATTAATATTGAACCATCAAGTTCTCTAATCCTTTTATTATTTATCATTATTATTATAATTCATTATCTGTATTTAACATCATTTCGATCATAATCCTGGCATTAATTTTTGGTATTTTTTTAAGCTAATGATCACATAAAATTATATCCAATAAATTATACATACGTTTATAAATAAATTTTTCATATTTTTACTGTGTCATTACTGGTTTTTTAGAAACTCGGTTATTATACACCTGTGAATCCTGAAATCATCAATTAACATTTTCTGATTTCTTAACTACATACTGGAGGAAGATCAAAGCTTAGAATGTAATTAACTTTTGATATTGAGAGAGCAAGGATCAGGGGCTGTTTCTGGAGAAGGGATAAACCCAATGAGAGAACAGTCTTATCTCGAGGCAGATAAACTTCAGGATGAGGTATTAGCTATCAATACCAGTGCTCAATCCCTAATGAGGGAGAGAGTTACGAAAAGGCTAATTGCGATATTTACAGACAGGCAGGCAGCTTTAGGCACCCTGACTGGCTAGGCAATCTACTCCACGTTGGGGGATGAAAGTAAAGATAATTTGAACATTGTCTGCGGTGAGGGTTGAATGGGTTCCTGGACACTCACAAATCATAGGTAATGAGAAGGTTGATTGATCGCTAGGAAGAACTCTGCACAGATAATCTTAGCACTTACTCATCTGTGGGATTAGCCTAGGCTATGCCAAAAGACATATTAAGACAGCCTTTTAGCAATAAGACCAAGCTCTATTAAGAACATTTTTGGAAACAAACTCACTCCAAGTTGTTCCTGACAGATAAACTTCCTGTACATTAGAAGAAGTTCATTTGTTTGTTGGGGCTTTAAGGCATGAAACATCAGGGTCATCAATGCCTGCAAATTAATTTTGTTTATCTCTGGATTAAATTTTTAAGAGATTTGAACTTTTTTTTCCAACAAATTGTTTGATTTCAAGAAACTTAACACTAACTTTACTGTCTTTGTCATCCTTCAAAATGTTTACTATTGGAGGTGTAAGTCCTGAACTAGTTAGTCCCGATACGTAAAAAAGGACACTTCTGTAATATGCAGCAGTCTGTAAGTGTATTATTGCAGTGTTGGCATAGTGGTGGTGGCTGTTAGATAATAAGATGTGAATGGATAAGATTGGTGTGGCTTATTCTTAGTCTGGTTAAGACAACTTCTCTGCGGATAAGACAATTCGATGTTGATCATGGCTTTATTGTTTATTTTTCATATCTTTTAATTTACTTGGCGGACTTTGATATCACATATAATGCCAGCTATGGGTTATTTCTTTTTTGAGGAGAAGACTTATCTCTTGCGGCGTTAGAATGACAGCGCATTAGAAGAAGTGTATACAGGTCACTTCAATAAATATCTTTTCAATCTGAGCTTAACTGAGGCACCTATCTGCAGGCTTTGTGGAAAATGAAATCGCCTACCACATTAAATGCCGATGTGATAACTTGGATAAACATTGGTATTTTCTCTTTGGAAGTGATTATGATCCTAAGCTCTGTTAAATGATTGATCCTATTAGTCTGTATAAGTTTGCAAAGGAATCTGGTCTGTTTAATATAGTACACAATAAACCTCAACGAGGGCGCAGTGCACCATAAAAAAAATTAAGTTATAAAAATATTTTGCAATAAAATTAGTTACAATTTAGGAATAAATAGATAAAAATGAGTGTAAAGAAAGGATATGGCGTCTTAAGTGCAGAGAGGCCAGCTTGGAGCGCGACGGTGAACGTGCTCTGCGAAGCTAGCTGAAACAACTTGTAGTTTTCCTGCCTGAATTGCTCGACCAAACGCAGCCACCTGTCCTCATCGAGCAGCTCCTTGTAGGCTGGAATTTCTAAAAAGGATAAAAAAAAAATATAAAAAAAAATATATATATATATTTATATATAATAAAAAGACCTTTAAACATAATAACATAAAAACACACTCATACATCACAAATGTAATTGTACCTAGGCAGGAAGAATAATAGCTATCTGATTTGAGATTTACAGCTGAGGTATAATAGTTATAGCAGATAAAAGTAATTTTACTCCGGTATTTAAAATAAATCTCGGATAGAAAAACTGGAAAATAATTTCTTATCAAATGACATGAGCCGGGCAATGGTCTTCACCAACAACACAGTCTCTAGAAACATCTGCAACTTCATTTATCCGGAACCAGAAGAATTTTTGTTAAACAGCTTAAATATCCATGAACACAGAGCAATAAGACACCTGTGGATCGCAAGCACAGCATACCTACAAGTTACTCTACAAAATAAAAGCCTGATATTAAAGACCAGCGAACCATACGAATTCAGTTGTAAATTCATCGATGACACTCTAAACCATCTTCTCCTGCACTATTCCTCATGTAAAGTCACACGGAGAATAATTTCTAAAGAATTACATATCGGAAAATGGTGAACTCTCTCTGTTAAAAAACATTTTAAATTATAACAGTATAAATAAAATGAAGTATGTATTTATGTTTCTCGCATCAATTTTGAACAACTCTAATTCTATACACGTTAGCCAGCTCGAAACTTCTTGATGGGGCATTATTAGAGATAAAATCTAAATTATTGTATTTATTCCTTATTAAAAGTATTATATGGAAAATACGTGTACTTTGGGCCACCCTAAGAATATGAAATTCCACCGAGACACTTAGTTGTTGATTTTGGTGCCTCTGATCTGCTCTCGTTTTTTGATACCATTGATAATAGTTTTTTAGAGTTAAAAAAGTAATTTTTCTTTATTTGATATAATAATTTTTAATCAAAAAAGTACATAAACATATTCAAAATTATTAGTCGATTGATGTATTGTAATCTCTCTAGCTTCTTTTGAAGGCAAGTTCTAAGCAATATAGATTAGCTAAAATTGTACCTTGGGCCACTGTTTTATAATGTAGAAATTATATATTGGGACAGCCCAAGGTATATAATTTCAAAATATGTCTCTTGTGAGAATAAATCCTCGATTTACTGAAGAAGTTTTATGGAGTGGGGTAGCTCAGTGGTAGGGCACTAAGCTTCCAATGGTCAAGGTCCCAGGTTCGAATCACGGCTCACGGCAGAAAAATTATTTATTGTTTCATTGGCCGTGGGACGACCCTGCTTGGGCACACCCAGCCTCTACAAAGTGGGTACCCTTAATTAAATAATTGATTAAGGGGGAAAACCTGGGGGTTGAGTGTGATCCTGGCCCGATCCCCTCCCTGCACAACTGTTGGCCTTGTAACAATACTTTCCCTAAATAGAACTGAACCCAAGAACCGTCATGGGTTGTAATGTTACAGGTTTTTTTTTTACTGAAGAAGTTTATTAATTTATTAGAAAGATTATTTACTGACTGCAAGCGTAATATATTGTAGGCTTTCAACAGATGACATGGAAAAGTTAGCTTACCAGTTTAGATAAGTGATATTTATTATTGAATAATAATTACTATTCCTATAACAACAAATATTGGCCAAGATACAATTCGTAGCCCTAGGTGTAAGTAGTTCCCCAAGGTACAATAAAGAGTGGGGCCCAACGTATAACTACAATAATTGTACCTTAGGTCATTTATTATTTTTAAAAATGATTATTTTTCTTAGACAAAATCTGGTGATAAAATAATTTAAAAATTAACATAGTATCTTCAAAGCATGACAGATAAAATTCTATTTTGAACTTTTAAAAATCATTGTTATTTTACAAGTTATGAAGCATTGAAAAAAAGTGACCTAAGATACACGGTACAAGGTATTTCGCCTATTTATTAGATAGCATGGTCAGCATATTTATGTATGTGCATCTTCCATGTGATTGTATTTTGATGTGCAAAGTATAGATATATTTAGAATTGAATACTTGATAGTTGACTGTTGTATTATTAAGGAAGGATATTGTCCGGAGTGGCGGTCATAGATAGGCTAAATAGTGGCCAAACTATTTTATTAAAAGCCAACGTTTCGACCCGATTTTGCAGGTCTTCTTCAGGGAGGTGTGTTCAGCTAGGAGTTTCACTTAGAACTGATCAGTCCTGTCAGGAGATGGTCCTGTCCTTTTTTTATAGGTATATTTATTTTTTCATAAATATTAACAAAAAAAAAAAAATTGTACATACATATTTATTGTTATGAAATCATACATCATGATGTTATAATTTCTATGCCAATGCTATTTAAAAAAAAAAAAGAAAGAAATAACTTATTATACAATCTAATACATATTGTTTAATGTTATATTTAAAGGGCCAATCCTAATATGATTTATGTAATAAGCATGTACTGCTTTATATAATAAATTCTATATCTACTTATCTAAAATTAATTTCAGTTGAAAATCAAGAAACTTAACCGTGTAAATGCGCCATTAGAAATAATTCATAAAAACTGTCAAAGAATTTAGTTACCAGTGTTCGATGGGAAAGCTAAAAGAGCCATGCAATGTTGAATTGATGGGAGCTGATCTTCTTCATAACTTGAGAAATATTTCCTTGCATGACTGAAATAAAAATAATACAACATTAATTTATGATCTCATTTCTTATATTACTGGGAACTTTTAGAGATTAGCCCAGCCAGTTATTTTTTAATAGTAATCTGTTACTTTATATTATATCAAAAAGCTTTGATTATAATTTACCTAATTCACATTTTTTTTTTTAAATTTTATTTACATGGCCAAAATTCTCCACAAATCAAACACAATAGTTGAGCCTGGAAGAATTGTTTCTATAAAGTACTTGAAGAAAGTTGCGGAAGTCCTGCCTAGGATGGCATACAGGAAGCACTCCTTCGTCTCACGATATGTGAATGACAAAATAATTGAAAAATAAGATGTGTGCCTCCAAACACCCATTGTTGAAGAAATATCCTCCTAACATTGTACTTCAAATTAGAAAAACATCACTCATCAATCTCGACAGTTGTTCCAAGCCTCCAATTTAGTTTGGATTGTTCAGTACGTTGCTTGCACAAACCTTTTGCAGATAATTCTTTCAATACGTTGTAATATGTTCTGTCATCATACCTAATTCTTTAGCACAGTACATTGTAGTAGTGTACTCCTCACATCAGGAATATATAAATAATATGGAAGCCGTTAAAGGTAATCTTGTATGCACTAACTATGTATTGGGAAGTATTCTCTTCTCATTTCAACACAAATGTATTTAACACCTCTACATATCAATAAGTTAAATTTCTTTCTACAAGCTTTATTAGATGTGGTTTATTACAGAAGCGCTCTCCTTATGGATAATTTCAGCTTCATAATAAATCTGAAAGACTTCATTCTCATCGATATACAAACTGGAGTCGTTATATAACCTGAAGGAGTTAATTTTTTTAACTAAATGAATCTGATAATAGATGTTTATATAATAGAAGAATAACAACATTGATTCAAATATAACTGATAATTTTCCTGTTTAAAAATAACTGGTGGGGCTAATCTTCAAAAGATACTATTATTGAAGTGCGAAGCTAAAAATGAAATACTATTACCGGACAGCATCGAGGCGGCGATCTGCTTTCACCAGTTCTACAAATTCCTGAACCCTCAGGTTAAACTCCATGGTTGAATGCAGTTTACGAAGCTTCGATCTGTTGTCATGGCACCAATTAAGGCACTTTGTGGTCTCTCGATCCATTAATGATTTCTCAACTTCTCTGGACACGGTAAAAACATCTGAAACATAAGATGAAAGTATTTAAAATTTATACTATCATAATTCATTCTATTAAAAAAATTAAGGGGCAGAAACCTAATAAACCAGGAAGCAGAAACATGACTAAGCGGCAATAAGACTAAGTACATTCTTAAGAAAGAAAGCTCAGCAAGTCTTCTGGAAAATCTCCAAAGAAGGATTGTGGCAGACCCTGCTAAGTGGAAAAGAATAATATAGGTGGATACCATTGATCAATGGTATTGATAGTGGGTAATTATTCATAAAGACTCTACTTAGATAAAATACTTTCCTACTATTCAAAAGGTTGGAAGCAAAATGGGTCCTTTGATTATTCGATATCAATTCTTCATTAGGCATAGGGTGTTTCACACCAAGCTGCATGCCTTTGGGAAGGAAATTAATTCCCTATCGCTATGTTCCTCTTGTGGAGTTCCAAAAAATGTTGAGCATGTTGTCACAACCTGCACCATTTTTAAGGCTAAACTACTGAGGGAAACTGAACTCTACACCATCATGGGAAACTATTTCTCTCAGTTAATAAGCAAGGATAACTACCCGTAGTGCGTAGTCTTCGTGTATGGATGGAAAGAATTAGTTGAATTGATCATTTCAACCTCTTCCGATAAATTAGAAGAGAGACGAACTTGAGAAAAGCGGTAGAAATAGCACTTCTTAAAAAAATCCGTGATGCCAAAAGAAAATAAATGAAAGTGGCAACATGATCACAGAAGATGTAAATATCCTTGAGCAGTGGATCGAGTTCTTTGAAGGACACTTAATTGTTCCTATTAATAAGAAATTTAGTTCCACTGAGTGTGTAAATTACAGGCCAATAAGCTTACTTTCGATGGCTTACAAACTATACAGCTTAATCCGAAATAGGAGGACTAATGGTAATGACCAAACAGGCTTTCGTCCAGGGATTTATATATTTATATACATAATTATAAGATTTATATAAAATCGAGATCAAACTTTTTAAATAATATAAAAATGTTTGTATTTAGTTAAAAACTTAAATTAATAGTATATCTCTGAGCTGTGGTTGGAATTGAGGAGGGGCCTGAATTCACTGTAGTGTGGCGTATAAGACTGCCTAATACAATGCTGCCTTAGTATCTCTAATCCATTTATATAAGCTAATAAAATATATTTTAAACTAAATACTTTCATTAAGAAACAACAGGATGAGAGAAAAGAGAAGAATATTTCTTGAATGAAAATTATGAAGCTGGAAACACTATTCTAAGATAGAAGTTATAAAATACATATCGGCATATACACTCTCATGATGTAGCTTCATCCCTTCCACTTATCTTTAATGTTAATTATCTTTGAAAATATGCATCAGAAAAATCTGGGACTTCTTGTAATAATCTAATCTTTATTGACGAATAATTTACATAAGACAGAAAATTTGTGCAAGTACATAATTGAAACTGAGCCACACTCGCCAAAAAATTGTATTTTAAATTACTTTTAGTTAAATGATGATATAAGAAATGTATTATGGATAAAACATGACAGAGAAAGATGTTCAAGAACGAAAAATGTAAATGGAAAGAAAATCGCCCAAGTCAAATAAAGGCTACAGTAGATTCAGGTCCCATCTTAATTCCAACTACAGATCTGGGACATACTATTATTTCAAGCTTTTAGCCAAATATAGAACACTTTTGTATCATTTAGAGTATGCAATTCCCATCTTATATAGGTACTGTTAGTATATAAGGTCATACATAACAATTTTCTATGTACATTCTATTTGTACTAAAGGTGAAATTTTGTAGCCTGCAAACCCAATAAATAAGTCTGTTACTATGGAAAATAATATAGGGAAATAAAATATGAAATCATACTAATAAATTTAGTCTCTTTTGTAAAAAAAAAATCAATTTTTACATAAGAAATTTTGCACTAAAAGTAGCGACATACCTTCTTCATTATTAGAATTCTACCACAGCTAAAATATATACGATTTTCTTTGCCATGTGAATACTAAATTGTCACAATGGCATCTTTTTTACTGTCATTGTTGCTAGTGTAACAATTAAAACTGAACAAACTCTCCAAAAAACTTTATTTCAAATATGTCTTAATTAAATATTGAAGAATTTTAAGTAATAAAAATCTAAATGTAAAGTCAATTTTCTAAGATGATGGGTCAAGAACCTGAACCATCAACGAGGGAACACAACTAATAAATAAATTGGAAGAGGTTTTCTTTACATAAAAAACCTTCATTAGCACAGAACCGTTACCTTGGATTGTATAAACTTTTTGTGACTGACAAAGATTCTGAATTACAAAATAAATTTGTACTTTCATCTCGTAATTTATAAAATTTTTTGACTTCCGGTGTTTTTTTTCATAAAATGTCTTGAATATTCCAGGTTCAAAAAATGTCCCTACTATATGTTAGGATGGGCGCCCTCTTCTAAAGGATTAGTTTAAGTGATACAAAAATTAGGCTGAGTAATCTATTTAGCATGTTTTTAGTATTAAATCATGTTTCATGAATATTACATTACAAAATTAACATCTCACGTGATAGAATCTGATAGATTAACATTAGTGTTTACATGTAAGCCTATTCATAGATTTGTCATGGGTATCCTGGTGAAAGAGAACACTATTATACAAATGCATAATGCATAATGGATCTTTTAATATCGTTAAAGAGAGAAGGGTACTTATGAACAATCCGGTCGGGAAGGAAACTCCCTTCTTATCTTATCTTACATCATATAACCTCCCTTCTTATTTTGTGTAAGCTGTTATGCTTCTGTTATATGTAAATTATTCCATTGTTTATGTTTTGTTAATTTTTACATCTCTTGAAATGGATATTATTATACTGTAGGAATTGCGATGTTCAGAAGAAGGTCATGAAATGACAGAAAGACCAAATAGAGATGCTTTCGTACCAGTTGTAACAAAAACGTATCAATAAGAAAAGGAACGTGGTTAGAGGGGTCTAAGATTACCTTGTCAACGTCTTTAAAATTTATTTATGGGTGATCTCATAATTTAACAATACAGTGGGGCAAAGAGTAGCTGAAACTATCGAACAAAAGTGTGATAACGTGGAACAAGTTTTTAAGAGAGGTTTGTGCCCATAACATGATATACAGGTCAACTAAAAATATTGGAGGGCCTGGCAAAGTTGTTAAAGTAGACAAGAGTGTTTTTAATAAAAATAAAAGTGTTTTATATGTATGCACATATGATGTTTATATAAAGTATGAATATATATGCGTTGTATGCATTAAGTGTTTATGTAGTATTATATTTGTTTTTGTCTATTTCAATTTCCATAAATATGACATTTATTTTATTCTATTTCAATTTCTATAAATATGAATACGAAGACAGGGTTTAACAGTGCCTTATCAGTGTTCAAGTTATAAGCATTGGTAGATAGCAGTCCATCCCGACCAGATTGTTCACAAGTATCGAGAGAAGCAATAAAGGAATAAAAGGGAGAAACTAATATCAAGTACAGCCAACTCTGAGTCTTGTCCCAATCAATGGATTGTTTTGAATCGGCAACTCAAGCGAGTAAGACTGCGGGCTAATCTTGAATGAATGAAGAAATTTCTCAACATTATGGAAACTGAAAAGGGTGGAAATTATGAAGTTTGTAAAGCAACAGAAGAGCCACAGCATATACTGTTTAGATGTAAAAAATAACACAAAGAAAGAGCTTAAATACAGAGAAAATTAAGAAGATTAAAGGTAACAAAAACACATTGTAGAATTTAGTGAAATGGAAAAAGAAAGAATTGGAAGAAATATTTTATTTGTACATATACACATTCCTTTAAAAACGCACGCATATTGGCCTGATACGATTTGATACCGAATCTTAATGGTCAATTCTATTAATAAATAAATAAAATACGTTTAAGAATTTCACAATCAACTAATGATGACATTAAATTCTATTTAATTAAAATTATACTACAAGTAAAAAAACATCCCTTAGAAGCTATGCAATTTATATAAGAAAATAGATAAAAAGGTATTGGCTTACTAAAATATGTTAAATGAAAATAGTTACCAATATTGGTCAAATCTTTAAGGTCAGATGTTTGTGCCAACTTTGATGCTGCATTGTAATAACCCTTCCGAAGAAAATACTCGACCAGCATCCGATCAAGGCGTTTTCTACACCACTGTGAAGTGCTAGTATGCTCTTTTAAATGTTCCAACCTCCGTTTACAGACATATCCAGCTTGAAGCTCCTCACAAATGCTCTCTTCAGCCTGAAATAAACATTTTAAAAATTCAAATAATAAAAGCTAATATACTATAATAATCTTTTTCATGTAACTTTACATTAGTACAGACAAAAATTTTAGAAAGTTTCCTATCCCAAAATTAAAGTAGGTCAGTATCTCTGATTTAAAATCAATACTTTGACATGGAAACTTAAGTCTTAACAAATAAGCTTATTCTAATAAGAAATCTACTCTTGAAAATGTTAATAATAATTGTTTTTAATGTCTATAATAATTATAAATTAACAAAAAAATATTAATTACCATGTGGCTCCTCAACATAAATGTACAATATAGTTAGCAAAATAGAGAATAGATGGATTACAAAGCAATTATAAACTGAAAGTAAGTAAATTATAATAGATAGTTTTCAGATTGTATAGTAAAAAAGCTGATAATCTACCTTCCTTTTGAGAACTTGAAGTTTTTCAACCATTCCTCCAAGTAGTCTGCTAATATCACCAGCACCAACTTTATCAGCAAAAAGTCCTTTTTCTAATTCAATAGCAGCAGCTTGAACATGAGACACTTCTCTGTCCAATTGTTTTTGGGCAGCACGGAACTTCTTATTCAAAATTTCATAAGGTACCTAAACAAGAGACACAAATGTACTAGTCAAGAATGCCAGACAGGAATGTGACAGAAAATAAATGAACCAGTTGTGGACTGCAGGGTAAGTCTAAATGTAGCAGGGTATAAAAAGAAAACAAATCAAACTCACCTTCAGTGTAGGGTGTTCAAGGGCTTTGATATCTGCCATTGTAAGATCAATTTCATTGATAGAATCAACCACAAACTCACAGTAGATCCTAAAACGTATATGGTAACACAAGTCTTTCTATTGTTGTCAACTAACATCTGATTCCTTGATGACGTAATGGAATACAGGCGGGGCACGAACCAGTCAAATGGAACTGCAACTCTTGCAAAATTTTTATTTTATAAAATCTTTTTCAAAATTAAAATATCAGTTTATTATTTATATTTCACGTAATTTTTATTTTATTTTATATAAATCAATTATACTTGGAAATAACGAAGTCGTGCGATAACAAACCAGTGCGTGTAGCAACAGGTAAACACAATACAAATTCAATAACTTTCAAACATTTTTGTTTATTCATCATGAGAAAATCTATAAATATTTTTAAATATTTGATAACAAATGGAAAAACGACAACTAAATCGTTAAAGATGAACATAAAACAAATTTCAATTTGCAACAGTTTTTGTTATTACTACATTTTAAAAAAAAATGTTTGTTGGAAATTCAACTATCAATTGTATTGTAGTGTGTAAAATAGATAGTTTAGAACGAAAATCGTTCATATTTTTTAAATTAACATTATTACGAGAATCTGTTTTCATGAATTTAAATGGAATTCAAGTTTGAACCCTTCAGTTACTCTTTAGAGTTTACATTCTTTTCATGGAATTATAAGATTAAATTCCAATCCAGGCCCTAAAGTAGTAATAAATTGACAAATCTGAAACCACATTTATCAAAAACGAAAATAGTACACAAAAAAATAATTCGCAATAATATATATTTCTGCTTAAAAAGTTCTATCCATTAAAAAATTTATAAATAAAAACTAATTAATATTAAGTTGTTATTTGTATTCAATTATGGATTACATAAAGACTTTTTGAATGTTTGATTTAAAGTTTTATCTTTTCTAATTAATTTAATTAATTAAGTGCTACGAATGTTGATCATACAGTAATCTATTGGTTGTTATTACAACTTATTTAAATTTTGAGAATGCATTTCATTACTTTAACAAAACAAAATAATATTTTTATAAAACGTCTTTATAATAAATTTTGAACTAAGAATAGTTATCTTAAATAAAATTAATGTTTTTGTACAGGGAATTCATTAAATAATAGCACATTTTTGAGAGTAGTAATGCAATGAAACGTACATCGTGAAAAATCATAATTAAAGGCTCATTGAAAAACTTATTTTTTTTACATGTTTACTATCTGTAGATAAGTTTAAACATCGTAAAATGTTCTGGTTTTTGAGAGCTATGGTGTTTGAAACAAAACTTACAAAGAAAATTCTCTTAATATTTTTATACCACAAAATGCCAATCAGGTTTTAAACTGTTGGATAGAATATAATTATGTTTATCACTCAACAAAAGTACGTATTATAATATTAAAATTATTACTAAAATAGGGATATAAGGATGTAAGTCTAATCAGGACTTATGTTTTAAAATTATTAGTTGAATACATTTGTTATACAATTTGTAACCTTTGGCAATTTAAATTAAAATAATTACTTATTTTAATTTATATATGATATATATTTGCAAAATACGATCTATGAATCATGCAGCTGATACTAGAAGAAGGAGAGGGAATCGGTTTGATTAGGAGCCGCGTGGTAGCGCTGTTATCGGCAGTATGGCGGACGGGGCAGGGTTCTCGCGAAATCACGCCAACTCCACAGCCTACACGAGAACACGTCGGCCATCTTCCATCGTTAACTCTCTCCATTGACTCTCCACACTTTGCGCTTGTTTTATGTGTTTTATAGGGTTATTCGAGTGTGAAAAAAGTGTTTCACGACTGTTATAAGTGCCGATTTTAAGGGTGTTAATTTTCAAGTAGTTTTAGTGTAAATAAACAGTGCTATAACAATTGTGAGTTGTCGACTGTTAAGAGCAACTGAACTAGCGGACCAGCGTGGCTGACCATTCTTTGTTTCTTGCAGTTTACAAGGTGAGTTATATCAGATTAATTACGAGGCAATGTTATTCCCGCTGTCAAGAGATAATTGAGTCACTTTTTCAAGGCAATATTTACCTTTTGAGAGGTGTACTGATGGTGGTGGGTTTTGTTATACGCTCATGTTTCATACAGTTTTATGAAGCTTGAATGGTAGCCTAACGTTCCACGCGTTCAAAATTGACATTTTATCCATTGTATTTGAAAATTTTGTTGTATTTTGTCAGGAAATGTTTATTTTTTTTTAAATGTTAGTGTTTCTTAAGTATTCATGGGATGCACTTTCTATAACCGCTGGTCTGTAGTTGCGTGACCTAATAAGTGAATCGCCTACCATTGCTGTTTCTTAATTCTCACCTTGTTTGTATGTTGTTTTTGTTCTAAGTTTCGTTTCTTTTTCATTTGAAATATCTTGTATTTTTTTTTTTAATATTTGAATATTTTTATTTAAATCAACAAAATTAATTAAGTAACATATTTGAACATAAAACTATTTTTTTTTCTTTTCTCAGAAGTGACATTTTTTTTTTTATTATTTTCAAAATAGTTTGATCAGGAACTGTTTTGCTCAGCTGATCTATTTAGCGGCCATTTATTTTTTTTCAAGAATTTTTTCGAGCAGCAGTTATTTTTAGGCGTTTAATTGTGGCAAATTGGTTGTGAATTATGGTCTCTAGTTTAGAGGTTATGTGCCTTTTACCGGTCCTAGATTTCATTACATAATGCAGATGCTGGGCCTACATCTCCTGTTTAGACAGTAGTTTTGAAGATGAGCCTATGTTTTTTAATCGAGTAGTTTTCGTTCCAAGTGGACGAATTTTGGCGGTTTGTGTCTCCCCACTCTTTTCCCCGATGGCCTGGACAACTGCAAGGCGTCCCTTTGGCCAAGAAGCCATCTATCCATTTGCACCACGTGCACTGCCAATTATTGCAATTATCCTAATCTCTGTAGTAATTAACGAATTAGGCCTATAATTTAAAATTCGATATGATTTCGATGGGTTATTAAGGATTCAACATTAGGTCATGGCCACGGCGATGCATTATTGGATACCTCAACAATGGTTCATAAGTACACCAGCATTCGAGGGAAAAAAAACTTAATGTTTACTTCAGCGTCACTGTTGTTTATAATTTACGAAAGTATTCCCAAAAAAATAAAAAAACTTAAAACTATGATGACAGGAAATTAATATATTTTTTTTTTATAATATCAAACATTTTCTTTAGGGTAATCCTTATAGGATCTTAACCTATAAACATTAAGTTATTAAAAGCAAGTAATATTTAATATTATAAAAAAGCATTAGTAAGCATATAATTATTTAGGAATCGTTTAAATTAATGTTATGTTTGAGTATTTATTATCTTTTCTACAGTTACATAAGTTACAAATATAAGTTAATGTTTTTAAAAAATCAATGAAAAGTATATTTATTTTTTGTTGTAGCGATATCACTAAAGCCATTGTTCTATTTTCTTTGTTATAAATTAGAACTACACTTAACACATAGTTTGTGGATTGTATAAAGTTTTTTCAGGATGTATCCACAGGAATTTATAATTGAGTCATTATTGCTGCACACCTTTTAGTTATAATGCATTCCATAATTTTTTATAAAAATTTATAACTAAGGTGAGAACCACTTATTTTAAGCAATTTTTTTATTAAATGTTGATTCTGTATTATTTTTCTAAACCTTACTTAAGTAAATCCAAGATATCTTTTAAAAATTGTCAAATTCATAGCTTTTTTTAAAAAAATATACCTATGTGATTGATTAATAAATTTAAGAAAATTTTAGTCTCTTAAATGCTCTACCTGAATAAAAGCGAAAAGCTATTATAATTCAATTTATTCTTGAATTTTAACATGTTAATTTTCAATTTAAAGTATATATCCGAGGAATACATATGGAAGAAATTTTAAAAGTACATCAAAGAAACATTCATTCAGAAAATTATTTTAATCTTTGATATAATTGTTAAAAGGTTCTGTACAAATAGACTGCTTATTTAGTTGTTTTATGGACAAAGTAACGATTGTTTTAAAAGTGTTTGTTTTTTTGTTACCTCTCATATTACCCATATACTCAGTTTATTCAACTGTAGTAAGGTTATACACTAATGATTTTCATATGTCAAGGTTGGTCATTTCATTAGCTTGTTTTATTAACCTTACGTCTTTATCTGAAATATATTTACTTACAAAGTTATATTTTTATAAATAATCAAAACTATGAAATTGTTCAGTTTAATATGATATGCATTGTGAGCATAATAGATGGATGTAACAGGAGAAACAGTTTCTCCCACAATACTGTTATGTGAATCTGAAAGAGGCCCAACAATTGTGAACTGTTTTTCCTCGCTTTGTTAATGTTTCTAATAATATTTAACATTCAGCTACTGTTAATTTTAAAATGCATTTACATTATTCGATTATTCTAGGTCTCACGTTTTAGTCATTAATTAAATTTAAACTTCATCTTTATGCATAAATTTAATTTACTATCAGAATTATTTCTAAATCTCTATTCCACAATATACAAATAATATTTCAAATTATTCGAGTGAACACTTATAAATTTTTTTAAATCGAGAGGACTGCTCAAAAGAAAAGTTTGTAATTATTTGTCGTTAAATTAAAAATCTTGATTTTATAATGAAGAGGAATTTTGAATAAAAAATTTAAATTATTAATTTTTATTGTTTGTGGATTATTATTAATATTAATGATAACCCACTTATTAATCATTAGATTTTTGTTGCATAATAGGACTTGCTTTGACAAGTCTTAGAGAAGATTAAAAAATTGTTTTGATTTAGTTTTAACTTAAATATTTTATGTTTTGTCGATAATCATCCTTAATTGTTTGATATTCATTAATTTCTATGTTGAAGATTTTTGGAAGGGAGAGGGATGGGGAATGGGAGTAATGCAGGAATTCTCTACAATAGTAACATCTTTTTTTTTTTAATTAAAAAATTGATTTCTGGTCGAGATGTTCATATTTAAACTTAATTATTATTACGAATTAGGAAGTTCTAATTTTAATAATGTTAAATGAAGGACAATAGTTGCATTTTAAAAGATTCTGGTAGTATGCTTAATGTACCAGTAATTTTCTTTTTTAATTATTATTTTT